CAGCCTCTGGCCCTGCTGTTCGATGGGGCCCAGGCAGGCCCCGCCGCGAGTCTCCCAGGGAGGGCCGGCGTTTCCCGTCTGCTTTAGGCCGACGCTCATTTTCCCGGCTTCCCTGGCTGACACTTTGTGCGAGCCCTGGAAAGCTTTGTCCAAGAGATGGTAATGGCTGAGCTACCCCTCCAGGTGCAACAGAGCAGCCTCGGGCAGAATTCCCTCATCCTCACAACGGAAGCAACAGCCCCGGTGTTTCCCTTTCCTCCTGACTGTGGGCGGACAGCCCGTGATAGCCGCCGGGAAGGCAGCCCCTTGCCCGTGCGAGGAGCCGACACCTGCACAAACCCGAAGATGCAGTACGTGTCCTGGATCACCGGGAGCCTGAATTGTAGCCTGAACTGTACCGACGGCAGATGTGTGGAAAGACGGAACTCGCGAGGCTGCACCTCCCTGGGGGGAAAGTCCCTCCTGCCCCTGCCCTTCCTTATTAACTTGGACCAGACTCGAGGGCTCAGGCTCTAGCGGCACCGTTGCTCTGCCCTCCGTGTCTCGCTGAGGCTCGGGCCTTGACTTTAAAATAATGTTCAGGGCTGAGTCCTTGTGGTTGTAAAACCCCTTCTCGTGAGCATCCAAAAAAGAAAAACACAGGAGCCCAGCCTGCGAAAAACAGCTCTCGACTCACGTCCTCCTGTGACTCTTGAGACGGAGTCTGCCCCATTTTTAGTATTTACAACTGAAAAAACTTACTCTTTTCGGCTTCTTTGAAACCTAAGCCTTGTCTGGCCCTAGAGAGCCTCTGTTCCCCTGGGCACACCTGACGTGCCGGGACTGTACGCTCCAGCGCCGAACACTCGCTGACCAACTCGCTTTGCCCCCTGTTGCGCCTTTTTTGGGAAGCCTTCTCACCCACCACCCACTTATTCCTCTCGGGGCCCCACGTTGGGAGCCCCTGGGTTCTCGCTCTACCCTGGGAAGGAACAGCAGTGAGAACGAGGAAAAATCAGACAGGAGACAAAAATCTGGGATCAGGCGGAGGCCCTCTCGCTCCAAGTAGAGAAAGAGAAGTACTCAAGCACCAGAGAGCGTTTTATACCCTCTGGAGGCTGATTAATTTCAGCCTCGGTCCCAGCAGTTAGTTAACAAGCTGCGAGGGCTTGTCTGTGCACCTGGAGGAGCTCCCGTGTTCTCGGACTGGCCTCGTCCTGCACACGTAATTATCTTCCAGCTTCAGCCGCTCCCAACACCATGCGTGGCTTTTCATTAATTTTTTAAAGTTTTATTTATGTTTGTTTATGTTTAGATTTTTTGAGACAGGTCTTGCCCTGCAGTTCAGGCTGGCCTTGAGCTATTAGCCCAGGCCCGCCTCAGACTCAGCGATCCTCCTGGGTCGGCCTTCCAGGTGCTGGGGTCAGGGGCGTGAGCTGCCCCACCTGTTGGCTTTTGACTGATTTTATTAGTCGCAGTGCTGTGAGACGGGTGTGTACCGCCAGCGGGGCACTCCTGCGGCATGCACAGGTGGCTCAAGCTGGCAGGGACATGCTTCTCTGCTGCTGAGATCGTGATTGGATGGCACGTTGGTTGTGATGGAAGGGGGGTGCGGCCCAGTTGAAGGTGGGTGGGGGTTACATGGGGACCACACTCGTCTGGGCCCCGCCTCGCTGGCTCTCGCCTCTGCTCCCCCACACCCCTCCGCATGACGTTGCGCCTTGGAGCCAGACAAGCGAGGACCAGAGCTTCCGGAGTTGTGTGTCAGAGTGGCTGTCACCGCCGCCTCCTCACCGCGCTGGGAGGCGGTGACAGGGGGTCTGTCTGTGGTCCGTTGCGTCTGCCGCTGTGACGTGTCTACCGGGCCTCCACCCTGGTGAAGCACAGCACAGTCGGCTCGGTCCTGCGCCTCACCAGCGTGGTCGGCCCCTAGCGCGAGCTGGCCTCGCGGCAGAGGGAGCCGTGCTCTGCGGGGTCTGCTGTCTCTCCTCGGTGTCCCCCAGTTTGTACGCTGAGTCTCTGTACTGCTGGAGTTTGGTGGCTGCTCGACAGCAGAAACGGGATTCTCTGCCTGAAGCCTTTGAACAAGGCTTGAGCCCAGGGAGACGGCTGGGCGCTCGGGAGCTCGGCCAGGCTCCCGTAGGAGAAGGTAGCCCGGGCTCCAGGAAGCCAGCAGTAGCGTGCACGTTCCGGACAGAGTTCACAGTGGCAGCTTTGCCTCTGTGCCAGGCGTTCACTGATCCAGGTAGCTTCACGTGGTTGTGCCTCTGAGGCGTTAAAATCATTCAGCGGAATCAACACTCTTACCCTGTTTTGCAGATGAGGGAATTGAGTCTTGGTGGGAGTAACTACCTGCCCCCAGTTAAATAGAGCTTTAGTTGGAATTTGACTCCAAATGTATTTCTATAATCTGCTTTGAAAAACGCTGATGGAGACATCTGTAGCAGGCGCTTTACTTAGCTCTCCATCACTGTGGCAGTACCGGAAACAGTCATCTGAAGGGAGGACAGGCGTGTTCTGGCCCCCGGGTCCAGTCCCCGGCGAGCTGGTCCTGTTTCTGTGGATCTGTGACAGCACTGAACATCATGGCGGAGGAGGCAGGGGACACGGGAGGCCTGCTCACCGCGGGACAGCGGGGGACAGAGAGGAAGTGGCGTGCGTGGGTCCCGGTACCCCTTCAGGGGCACCCCCTACATCCTGACTTCCCCTGATGGGGCCCCGCCTCCTGCAGTTTCCAGCGTCCCCACAGCACTGCAGGCCAGGACCATGCCTCCCACGTGGGAGGTCTGAGCACATTTGGGGTGTTTCACTTCCGGGCTGCCGTGGGGCCTCAGTTCACAAACTTGATTCTTTCCACGATTCTGGTCACAAACCAAGTTGGACAGGACCCTAATCGAGTTCAGTGGCTGCGATCAGCGTTGGCCGTGTGGGAGGTTTGGTTTGCTCCCATCCAGCTCGGTGACCAAAATCGTGGAAAGCACTGCATCCAGGAAGCGAGGTAGCACCGCATAGCAGTGTGTTCACACAGGTATCGGTAACACGTTCTAACAAATTGCATAAACAATTGTTTTTCTCAGTGTGCAAGATCAAGACAAAAAACTTCAAGATTTATGGAGAACCTGCCAGAAGTTGCCTCCACACAATTTTGTTAACTTTAGGTACGTACGATGGGCATTCTGTAAATTGAGCTGTCACATGGCAGTGACTCTGGAGTCAAGATAGGTTTAATTCCAACAAGGAGGCCATCTACCTCAGGCACACGTGGCACATTTAAAAAGTAGTGTGGCACTGCTGTGAGTGGGGTTTGGTGTGGATGATCGCGGTGCCTGTGAAGCGCCAGTAACGCAGCTGGCGTTAATATGTCGGTTGTCCTGTAGATTGTGCTGTTGTAGCCGTTAGCCGGGTCACTGACTGTGTATTAGATTTGGAGTCTGAATTGTCCGGCACGTAAAATGCAGAGTAAACCAACTGTTACACTTGCAGTAACATCTTCCGTATAAATAGAGCATTCATCATTCCACCATGGAGATTATATTGCTTTATTAAGTAACTGTGTTTCTAAGAAAATTTACTGAGAGACAAACTTCTGGAATTGAACTTTGGTATTCACACTGACTTGATGTGTAACTTTGAGGGGGCATAGGGAAAAGGGGAGTGGCCACGCCAAAGAAGAAAGACATTTGAAATCAAACAGGAAATTTCCTGAGAGGACTTCTTTAAAAAATAAGTACTATGCCCGGGCTGTGACCTGACCTTAAATTTACTGTTGGTCACCGTCACTGTGCTAAACTAAATCCTCCTTTTCACTCCCTCAGTGTCAGCCTGGCCTTGGGAGTGTGTTGGTATTTGTAAGGTCTCTTACTGATGAACTTAATACACCCAACTTGGAGTTACAGATACTCTTAATTTATTGAGTGTATTATGATGGGAACTCATTCAGTTCCTAGTGTACTGGGATCTTACCTTTTGGTTTGTTTATTTTGCTCTACAAATTTTGCTGATTTTTAAAAAAATATGGCATGCATTCCCATGGTTCAGAAATGCAAAAGTAGGTTACATACCTCAGTGGTCACTTAGTTCTAAAGTCCTGGGCCCAATCCCTAGCACTGCAGAAGAAAAAAAATTCAAAAGGTAAACATTAAAAACTCCCTGTTCCGCCTCCCACCCACCTGTTGCCTCTCCTAAGGCACGGTTAGTGCTTAGTTTCTTACAGGAAACTAAGGGTTAATGCGTACATGAACACATGCACCAGGATGTGCGTGCAGTATTATGCACACACTTTCTCTTTCTCATTGCCTACTTTCTTTGAGACCAAATGGTAGTACATATTACATATATCATTTTTTCTTTTGCTTTCTTTGCTTAACATCTTTTTTTTTTTTTTTTTTTCTCGGTCTTTTTGAGACAGGGTCTTGCTGTGCAGTGCAGGCTGGCTTTGAGCTCACTTTGTAGCCCAGGCTGGCCTCGAACTTACAATAGTCCTCCTGCCTCAGCCTCCCAAGTGCTGGGATTACAGGCGTGCGCTACCATGCCCGGCCCCAGCTTAACATCTTAATATCTTTGCTTAATACATCTTGGAGATTTCCCATATCAGTGCATACTAATTTATTGTGAGGCATAGTACTCTGCTGTATGGATATACTGTAATTTATTTAGTCAGCTCCTTATTGATAGATAGCTATATTCTTAGTGTTTTGTTCCTATATTATTGTACTTACATGGAAGAATATATCTCTGGTAACTTGAATATTTTCATCATTGTAGCATAAAGCATTTTTGTATAGTTGCCTTTAAGTAATGTAACTGATGACCCTTTTTAAACAGGATATTTTATTAAGTATATATTGAGCTCACTATTAATTACGCTGTAATTTATCTAGGGATGGAATGAAAAGGCTATAAAGGAGAAATAGATTAGAAATATATACCAAATGGAGGTTAAATCATTGAGATTTACATTTGAGTTATTTTCTCTTGCCAAGCTCTCATTAATCTGTTTTCTAAAACAAAATACAAGAAATTTCTGAAATGCCTTACCCGAGACTGATTCTGGTTTAGTGAGCTCTACATGTAGCACCTAAGCAGTCAGAGAGTGAACGCGGGGCAGGGAAGAGAAAATTGCTGCGACTATTTCAGGGAAGATGCCCTGTTTGGTTTCATTTTTTTTATTTCATAGGTATTTAATCAAGTTCCTTGCGAAGCTCGCTCAGACCAGTGACGTTAATAAAATGACTCCCAGCAACATTGCAATCGTGTTAGGCCCTAACTTGTTATGGGCCAAAAATGAAGGGTAAGTAGTCTCTCCCTGCATCGTGTCATGGGTAGGAACGTAAGCGAGACGCGCTCTGGGCTAAGGTGCATGGTGTGGTGTCCTGCGGCTGATTTTCCCGTTCAGCACGTTCTCAGGACCCATACGTGAGCTGGGTGCTGCTGCAGATGCTGGTGACAGACATGGGACATTGTCCCTGTCTTCAAAGAACTCCCTGCTCTTGACCAGTAAGGCCCCTCAGTGGCTTCAGTACAGTAGTAAGATAGGTGTGTGTGTCTGTGTGCGTGCGCATGCCTGTGTTTGTGTGCTATTTTAATGGGTGCAACTCTACTCCCTGTTTAGGGTCTCTGGCTGTGCCTGGGAGTGAAAAAGGCATGCAGGTTATTACGTGTACATTTGTACGTAGGAGCCCCTGTAGGAAAGTGAAGACCTAAAGGAGCAGTTAGAGCTGAGCGCTTTCGTGCTAAGTTGGACAACAGGGAGCACATTGTGACAGTGAGGAAAGACTGGGGCTGGGCTCGGCTGTTAATTATAGAGACGCGACTAGGAAGGTAAGGATGGATTTAGCGAGGTTTGTTTGTGTAGATGTCCTCTGACCTCTGCACCCTGTTGTTGGTGATATAAATGCTTTTCTTCCCTCTGCCTAGGGGGAGGGCATTTTTCACATGGGGCTTTTCTCCTGCTTTCCAGAAGAAAAATGAGGGTTAAAGTGCTCTCATATCTGCTGTTTTTTTAAATGCATTGGCCTCAAAATAGCCCATATGCTATAAGGCCGTGTTTTGGGGTGTCGCAGTCGTCTCCCCTCCTATGTCACTGAATTACAAGGCAGAAGGGAAGCAGGTAGTGCAGGCTGGGAAGCTCAGGGAGAGCTGTGGCTAAGAAATGGCAGTAGACGTTTACCTGGGCAAATCGATGCTTTCTGCAGATGGCCCCTGGGCGGGGACCCTGGCATTGCAGGCGTGAAGCACCCGGGCGCTGGTGCTGAGGGGCGCATCTCTGTCTTGGGTAACTTGGAGGTGGGATTTTGGTAGGTCACGGCCTTCCATGTCCTGCTGAAGTGTCTGGAACTTACTTTTCCAGGCCATGCGGGAGCTGTCAAAGTTCCTGACTTGATTTAATTGCAAGATAGTTTTGCGGGCACTGAGAGGAGAGGGGCGAGGAGGAGGCTCGCTGGACAGCTTGGAGAGACTTGCAGGGCGGAATGGGCGTGTCTCTGTCCTCACCTTTTGAATTACTGTTATCCTCCGTTTTGCAGGGGAGGATGCTGCATCTCAGAAATGATAAGTTGCTCCAGGTAGCTCAGCAGGAAAGGGTTAGAGCCCAGGCCATGGAGCTTGTGTCCTTAACTATCACCTTTCTCTGCCTCCCTTTACTGCCTGTCACCTTGCAGCATATCACGAACCAGTCAAGTTGTAGTAAAAACGTGACTTTTTAAGTCAGTCTTTCATTTATGCACTCACGTATGCCCAGTCTTGTTTCAGAAAGTAGATACAAGGTTCCTCACAAACATCCAGTATCATAAAGCAAAGTTAAAAACAAGTAGGTATACAAAGCTACCTACGTAGATCGTATCTTGTGGCAAACAAATTCCAGACAGACTAAAGACTTAAAAAGTGATACCATAAATATGGCAGATAAATATTTCAGGTAGGAAAGATTTTCTAGGCATTAAAAAATGTAAAAAACAAATACATTTAAAATTGGTGGATTGGCTGTGTGCCAGCTAGAAACTTTCATGTCAGAAAACACCTTACACAAAAGGAAACAGACTAGGAAACAGTTTCTGCAAAAAAGAATTCCAGAATACACGAAGAGATCTTGTACGTCAATGTGCAAAATGTGTCTCTTAAGGAAAGTTGGAAAAGAGCATGGTTGAACAGTTCCTCCCAGTCCACTAGGACTCGTAACGCGCTGATCAGAACCCAGATGGGAGGAGGGTTGCAAAGCATAATTTGCAGACAGCTTGCATTTTAAGCTGGAGCTTCATAGACCCTCTCCTTGTTTAGACAGTGGTGTGTTGCCAGGCGTGGTGGCGCAAGCCTGTAACCCTAGCACTCCGGAGCCTGAGGCCTGGGCTGCGTCGTGAGTTCAAGGCCAGCCCAAACTACGTAGCGAAACCCTGTCTCAAAAAACAACAAAACAAAAAATGAAAATGATGTGTTAACTTTCTGCTGAGAAGCAAAGTCAGTGATAATAGGAGAGGAGAGCTTGGTTTGAGGCAGTCAAACTGAGGACAGGTTTCTTGTCCTCATTCATAAAAAGCCTCACGACAAAGTAAATTCAGTGAGAGCCTAACAGTTGGTAAGGGTCTTACTTTTTCCTTGCTGCGGCAAAATACCTGACCACCCACAAGTTATAGAAGGAAAGGTTTGGGCTGGGGATACAGCTCAGCAGCACAGCCTCCTGCCTGGCAAGCGTGAGGTCCTGAGTTCAATTCCCAGTACCCAAAAAAAAAAACGCTGCTGGGTTTCTTTGAGCTCCCAATGTGTAGAGGTTTTAGTCCATACTTGGCTGGACCCAAAGTCGGGCGGCACAGCCGAGCGGAAACCTCATGGTAAGGCAGGCAGAAGCAGCAGCTGGGACTAAGGGGACAGAAGGGACGTACACACGTCCTCCCATGCCACACCTGCACGGACCACCTCTTCCCACCAGCCCTCACCTCCCACTCAGCTATAAACCCAGCGTGAACACCCATGATCTACTCACCCAGGGGCCCATGAGGCTTTGGGCGACATCTGGATAAAAGCGGTAACAGTGGGTGGTTGGCTTTGAAACGCGTTCTGAGTCCCAGCAAGGAACCGAGCTCGGTGACAGGGTGATGATGGTTTGCTTCCTTTTGAGCCCTGACACCAGGAACTTCCAGCCTCCGGACACTTGTCTTGGGACTGGAGCGTGTGTGGCTGCAGGGTGATGCGGGGGCTCCCGTTCTGGGGCTGTGTGACGCTGCAGGGGCTCCCGTTCTGGGAGCTGTGTGACGCTGCTCTTGGTTACGGTAGAGACAGGAGTAGGTGCAGGCGAGCTTGGGCCTGCAAGATGGATACCAGGTGTGATTCCTTCCTAGCGGACAGTCCTTCCTCCAGGCCAATGTAAACCAGCTTTTGGACACACAGTATTTACTGATGGAGGCGCTCCTGGGTGCCTGTTGGAGTGGATTCAGCATTTGTCACAGCGCAGATGAAGGAGCGGTAGCTGGGCCGGGGTCATTTTCCTCTGGGTGATTGCGGCCCAGCTCAGCCCAGAACCGCGTGTTTCATTGTCCGTCTGCACTGAGATATTTCATCCTTTAAACAGACGTGAACTGCCTGGGCACAGCCTGCGGGCCCTAGACACAGCCGGGCAGGAGCCGGGACCGGCCCCAACTTTGCACTCTTCTTTGCAGAACCCTCGCTGAGATCGCAGCAGCCACCTCAGTCCACGTGGTTGCGGTGATTGAGCCCATCATTCAGCACGCCGATTGGTTCTTCCCCGAAGGTAATCTCCGCTCCGGGTTCGCTGCCTGCGGTAACAGTAGGGGAGCCGTGTCAGAAGTCTTCCTGAGGAGGGAAATCCACCCGTGGTGACATAATTGGCTTCACTTTTCCAGCTTCTTTCTAGACCTTATTCATTTGCGCTCTTATTTCGGCATAATGAAAATCATACCATTTTGTATTTCACTCAATTTCACTAAATCGTGTTCAGCCAGTGTACGTTGAGTAGCCACCGGGTGCTGTAGGTTTGCTGGTGAGACACTGTCCTCCCGGGAGGAGCGTGGGCCCTTGGAGAAGGCAGCTTCACAGGCAGAGATAGGCGGGCGGAGAAAGACGGGGCGAACTCGGTGTGAGGAGGAGGGGGCCGGGGGCTGGGGGTGTGGCTCAGCGGCACAGCGCCTGCCTGCCAAGCACGAGACTGTGAGTTCAATTCCTAGTACCAAAAAAAAAGAAGAGGGAGCCAGGAAGTACTTCTTAGAAAAAGCAACATTGAACGTGCAGGGGTTTTCTTCTTGCAGGAGGGCTTTTTGTGTTGTGTTTGTGCAGAGTTAGGAGGTGAGGCGGGAAGGATGGGCTGGGGCACCTGGGGAAGGTCTGAGTTAGCTGCGTCAGAAAGCTAGGGTTCCATGCTGTCGGTAGGTTTTCAGACTTGCAGACCTGGGATCCGTGGACGCGCTCGCGGCCTGCTTTTGGGGCACTGGCTGGCAGGTGTGGAGCCCAGACCTCCCTTCCCGCTTCCCCAGAGCAGCCCAGCTACCCTGCTCACTGCAGCGGAAGCTCTCTGACGCCAGGCTTGTGCTCCTCTGTTTCCACTGACTTCCCAGACTCCAGTCGGGACTCTTCCATGTTTATCACCCATTAAAAAGATGTAATGGATGTGTATTATAGCCTTCTACCCACGCTTTCTCCTTCAAGCAAACGATCCTTGCAGAAGGGCTGTAGGAAGTACGCTCTTTGTGTTGTCTTCTGTTTCTATTTTATATCACAGTGTAAGTAGCTCATTTGATTCCAGTAAGTCATCTACAGTCGTAGTCCTCTTCTGTATCCCGTGGGCGTCTCCCACAAAAGGGAAAGCAGGAGAGCCGTGCGCCATGTGTCCTGACTCATACCCCGTCTGCTGTCTCCGGCTCGCCTCTGTCTCGCACTGGCTTGGTGGGCCGCTCTTCTGATGAGAGTGCCGGAGCCCCCTTGTGAAGCAGGGAGGGCCTGCGACTGGAGACCGAGACCCCTGTTCCAGGGGTGTTTTCGAGCTCCCTCCCCGCGCTGTGTGGCTCATGCTCTTACCAATTGTTCTTGCAGAGGTGGAGTTTAACGTATCCGAAGCGTTTGTACCTCTTGGTACTCCGAATTCTAACCACTCATCCCACACTGGAAATGACTTTGACTCGGGGACCCAGGAGAGGAAGCGGCCTGTCAGCATGGCGGTGATGGAAGGAGACCTGGTGAAGAAGGAGAGGTGTGTTCAGAGCTGTTCACTTCCGATGCAGCAGATGTCACACAGGAGGATGTTAGACCCGGGTGTCTGGTTACAGTGTAGTACCCCATGTACCCAGATGCTGGTGACAGGTGGGGCCCAGGTAATGCAGGAGTTGTGCTGGAGGTCGTTCCAGGCGTTAATCTGACCATGAAGTACTTGTGTAGCCTGTCAGTGGACGTCATGCCACACACCCCGCTTTCCTGTGTGACGCTCCGTGAGACCTCGTACGGCGGAGTAGCATCATACACACTGCACACACCTCTGTGTGTTTTATTGGTGGAAAATAAGAAAAATGAAAACTAGCTAACGTGGACTTCCGCCCAGTATCGTGTGTGAGAACAACTCATACCTCACGCTGTTCAGGCGGATTTTGGTATTATGTGGCATCTCCATGAAAGCCAACCACTGAACTTAATGTTTAGCCGGAGAAATCTCAGTATTCACCAATTGTGGACGAACAAAATGGCTGTGTTGAACTTAGTAGTCTATCTCTGTACAGTTCTCTGTGGAGAATTTGTGAGATGTTTTAAGGGTGATTAAGACCGTGTGTGACCTCAGGTGCCAGCCTGTCCGGTGTGTATGATGAAATGCCACTGTACTCACGGCAATGTGGGCGTGAAGAGCCTGTTTGAAGTGACGCGCTTTCCTCGCATATATGTAATAATATTGCTGGGACTTGCCTATATTACAGCTACCGAGCAAGCTCTTACTGTAATTGTCCAGTTTTACATGGAGGCGTGTGGGGTGTGTGTTTGCTTGTTTTGGGTCTTCTTACTCTTAGCAGAGGGAAGTGCTTCCCTTTTCCTGTTGTTGCGCTCTGAAACTCACATTTATTCTGTACAGAGCCTCACTTTCCTGAGTCCTCGTGCCCCGTTCAGGAGTGTCTCCTAATGAACGTCACTCTGTCTGTAACAAGATTAGCTCCCATGTGCCCGTTACAGACTCAGCGTTACGTGTCTGGCCAGCGCAGGCCCACAGCTCTCAGTACCTGTCTCCGGCCGACCCAGTGAAGATGAGCTTTTTATTTTAACTAAAAAAAGGTGTTGAACTTTACACGCTAATGAAAAGTAAATCTTCCTTCTGTCCTGTCCTCCAGCCACCGTTTCCTTCCCAGAACAGCTATTTTTCCAGGCTCATGTGTGTTTCAGATGCCGCCTTTTGTATTTCATGTGAATTAAGAGGCCGTGTGGTATGCTGGCCTGACACTGTCCGCAGTCAGCAGACTTGGCCTCCACCTCATTTCCCAAACACAGATTTGAGGTGGGAATGAGGCAGTAGGAAAGAGTTAAGGTGACGTCCCTCGAGATGAAGCCAGCCTGTTTGCTCCAGCTGCTCACACCCAGTTGATCAAGGGCATCGAGCAGTACCAGGTCCACTGGCCTCGTTCAGGGTTAAAGCCAAGGTGAATTGCTTGCTCTGGTAACGGGGGTGACAGTTAATATGGCTCTTGCCACGTCTCTACATGCTGGGCAGTTCGGGTGCTGTCCCTGTTTGGATTTAACACGCGTGGCCCAGGGAGCTTCTGTCTCAGTCGCCGGCTTGCATGGTGTGCTGACTGTCTCTTCTCTCTGTAGCTTCGGTGTGAAGCTTGTGGACTTCCAGGCGCACCGGCGGGGCGGCACTCTAAATAGAAAGCACATATCCCCAGCTTTCCAGCCACCGCTCCCGCCTACGGATGGCAGCGCCGTGGCTCCAGCAGGCCCAGAGCCCCCTGCCCAGAGCTCTCGGGCTGACAGCAGCTCAGGGGGTGGGACTGTCCCCTCCTCCGCAGGCACATTGGAGCAAGGGCCGAGCCCGGGTGACAGCAGGTAAGCAGGCTCTCTTCTGCTGGCAGTGGGCCCGATGCCCTAACCCTTTCGCAGGTGGCAGCCTTTGGGCGTGGGACTCGTGCCTAAGGGGCCCTTCCGGCATATCGGGAGCCAGACTCGCATCTACTCCTCTGGTTAGCCAAGGGTGGGGGTGGAAACAAGACTGTACATAGTTTGCTTCCTTTTCTGTTTGCAAAGGAAGCAACATTCGTTCGCAGTCCTTGTCACGCTGCTGCCTTGGTGCTGGAAGTTACGTGATAAATCGCTTTACCCGCTTGATGTGCAGCTGTCAGCGTTCATGTGCCGTTTGCTTGTCCTCATCATGTGCTCACTAGCAAGCTGGTGAACGTAGCGCATTACGGTGGTGCTCCTGGCGTCTGTCACTCACTCACACACCATTAATTCAGTCGGGCAGGCTCACTGAGTACCTGATACGTGCCAGGCACTGTGCTAGGCGTCTTAGGTGCCTAAGACTCCTCCCCAGCCCTCGAGGGTTCTAGTCCTACGGGGGAGCCGGCACGTGTGCAAGGTAGAAAGGAAGATGGTAGGAAGGACTCATTGGATTGCTTAGCCCTTGGGTAAGCCGCTGGGAGTGGACCGCCCAGTAGAGCAGCTTTAAAGAAGGTACCTGGAGCTGAGACTTGCACTTGTGTTGATTACTTCTCTGCCCCACTCTGGGCAGAGGCCGTCTCAGGCGGTACCTGTAGCAGCTGCAGCAGCGGCTGCCGTGAGCAGTGAGGCCTTGCAGAGTGTGCTAGGGTTTGTGTTGTCATGTGCTGTCGTTTGGCCGTCCTCACAGCACTGAATGGTCCTATCTGAGGTAAAGTAAATGCACACGGCCGGGACTGCTGGTTTTCGCGCTTTCCTTCCGTCGTCCTTGGGTTGGCGGAGGGCAGCGTGGTGCTGCGTGAAGTGACTTAGCAGGTGGGCCTTCTGGCCCGCCTCGTATGTGCACTGCGAATGCTGTGTGCATTCTTGAACTCCTTTCATTCCGAACGTAATTTGAGAAGTCTATTTTTTAGTTGAGAGAAATTAAATCTTCTAACTTTGTAGGGCTTCGTAGGCCCGACGTCAGCTTCAAGGGGCTTCATTAAGTGGCTCAGTAACCACTGCTCCATACTTTATTTCAGCTTGAATTCCTTTTGTTTGAGAAAAAAGCAGATTTACACACCGTGAAAGTCAGTTCATTTGCTCCAGACTGAGCGTGTTTAAGTCAGTCGTTAATTAGTCTTTACCACGGAAGGACAGACGGAGTGTCGGTCATCGGCTTGCTGTTTGTTCTTCCTAGTCTGTGGGTATTTTTTTATGCATTTTACTGAGGGGATCCACTCTTCAGTGACCTTAGCAGCTGTCACTGTCACTTCCACTGCTCAGAGTTTGGCCTAGGGAGCGGGAGGCCTGAATGCTGATCTGCCGTCAGATCGGGCTCTGAGTCATTGTTCAGCCGCTCGAGAGCTTCCCTTCCTTCAGGTTCTGGTGGTTGACAGTAATTAAGCTGTCTTCATCCCAAGCATCATCTCACTGTTGCTTTCACTTAGTTTTGTACAGTGTATTTGTAAAAATCCAAAAGTCCTTTCTTATTTTTAATATTGCCCAGTTTAATACAAGCAAAGTAGACACCTTGAGATTTCTCATGGATTGCTGTGAAATGGCCTCTAGCATGACGTCTGAGGTGTAGTTGGAGGTCAGTTTGGTGCAAGGAGTCTCAAAAATATGTATTCTTTAAGGAAATAATTGCTTTTATGGGTCAGGGTAAAAACTATTTAAAATTTCAGATCATCTCTTCGCCTGCTGAAGTAGAAACTACTTGGAATCTTACCCAGGCAGCCCTCCATGCCTGTGGATGCTGTACCCACAGATCCAACCAACAACAGACAAAAAATAACTTCTAAAACTTCGTTCATGTAAGCCAGGCATGGTAGCTTGCACCTGTAATCACAGTGCTCTGGGAGGCTGAAGCAGGAGGATTGCCTGCCTGGGTAACTTAACAACTTAGTGAGGTCCTGTTTCAATATAAATTAAGAAGGGGGATGAGTGGGTGGCTAGGGATGTAGTTCACTGTGAAAACCTTGGTTTAATCCCCAGTACTGCCAAAAACAAGGAGAAAAAAGTCTGTACTGAACATGTGCTTTTATTGGTATTCCCTAAACCATAAAGCGTAACATATTTCCAGAGTATTCATGTTATATTAAGTAACATAGAGATGATTTAAAGCATACAGGCAGGTATGGATAGGTTATATTCAAGTACTGTACCAGTTTACATAAGGAATGTGAACATCTTTGGATTTTGGTGTCTGCAGGGAGTCCTGGAGCTAAAGCCCCTGGGTTACTGGTGGACAGCTATATTTCACAGTACGTTTCAATTTTCTAACTGTGAATGTCTGACATCTAACTTGACTTTTACTCCCCTTAGTCCTCCAAAACCCAAGGACTCGGTGTCTGCAGCTGTCCCTGCATCAGGGAGAAGCAGCAGTCAGGTGACCACCGGCCAGAACCCGGCCCAGCCCGGTGCCGGCTCCCATCAGCTCTCCGTTGGCCCAGCCCACGGCACCGCCGACCCGAGCCCTCACACGCTGCGCCGGGGTAAGTACCGCGCCCCCCGGGAGGGCTGTGCCGGCCTCCGTGAGTTGGCTCAGGGGTGCGGGGTTGAAGCTTTTGGATAATCTTCTCTGTGGATGTCTAGAAAATGGCAAGCAGGAAAATCAGCCGTTAAAAACAAGAGCACAAAAGCAGTCATTTAAGAACGTTTTCCCACAGGAGCTGTAAAGCTTAAACAAAAAGTAATTTCTTCAGAAACTTGCTTAGTTTTCTGGGAATCTGGCGTTCCCAGGCTTTGCTGTTTAGGAACCTCCATGGCCTGCGTACCACTGGGTTTTGTGGGTCTGGAGGCCCACTGCGCCTGCTAAACCGGCCCACGGCTTCCTGGGTCCCAGTTCGTGCAAGCTTCGTGTCGGCTGAATTGCTCCCGCCCTTTCCTGTGGTCCTCTCCAGTCAGCGGTCGGGGCGTTGCTTTCAAACAGAAAGGTGGGGCCGTTTCTGGGGAACTCGCCAGTGGCTTCCCTGTCCACCTCCTGCCTGGGCCCCAGGTGTACCGGCTGGCAGCTGCCTCGAGCCCTCCTCTCACGCTCCGCTGCTTCCGACTTCACTCTGCTCTCTGTCCCTTGGGCACGCGGAGCTCTTCCCCGCTTTAGAGTGTCTGCAGCCTGTCCTTGGCTCGCCCAGGACGTTGTGACATCTTCATGCAGTCCTTACCACTTAGGTCTCAGCTCAAAGGTCACTTCGCCCATAAAGCCAGCCGTGTCTGCCTTACGTGTGCACGTCACCCTCCATCGTGTCACTCTCGTTTTTGCAGGAGCACTTTCTTGATGGGCAGTTTTTAAATTTGCTTTCTAACGTGTTGCCAGTCTCTCCGAGTTGCTCTTAGCGGCGTGCATACGTGCGTCTTGCACACCAGTGCTCCTAGCTCTTGCGCTGTGCCCGTCACAGAATGAGCACTGTGGGCACCAAAGACACTGGCGTTAGTTTTGCCCCTCCCCTCAGAACGTTTGGCAGGGCCTGGAGACGGCTGGCCGTCACGCACGGTGAGGGTGTTACTGTTGGCATCTAGTGGGCCGAGGCGGGGCTGCTCAGGATCCTGTAGAATGCACAAGACAGCCCACGAGAAAGTTAACGTGACCCAACGTGTCGGCAGTGCCCGGACTGAGAGCCCCGGTCTGGAAAGGGACGGGAGCCCACAGAGGGGTAAAACTGTGTGCGCTGAGGTGCCCAGTGTCTTTTTTTCTTTGTCTTTTTGAGACACGGTCTCGCTGTGCGGTTCAGGCTGGCCTTGAGCTCACTTTGTAGCCCAGGCTGGTCTCGAACTTGCAACGATCTTCCTGCCTCAGCCTCCCGAGTGCTGGGATGACAGGCGGGCGCCACCATGCCCGGCGCGCCCAGTGTCTTGACTCTGCACAGCATCTATTGGAGGACAGACGATCCGCACTACAGTGCATGGGTCTCGTGGTTCGTGGATGCTCATAAAACAGTGCGTGGAACGCATCCGCAACAGTGCTTCATAGGCCTCGCCGCGGCCGGCTGTGATTTGGATTCAGTTGTCCTGCTAGCTCGATCAACCGCTGCTACCTGTGCGATTGTCCAGAAACATGGGTGCTGCTGAGGCCGCAGAGGAAGCCAGACGTGTCACGACATTTTGGCACTAGGCACAGATCAGCTGCCTTTATGTGTAAAGTGTCTTACAGAGATTCATGAATATGAATAAGTTTGTTGATTGTAATAATCTTCCAAATGGATGCGAATAGTATTCCTGTTTACATTTGGGCCGCAGTTACTCAGATTCAAGCAGCTATAAGTAGACTGGGTCCGTTCATAGACTTGCTGTCAGTTTTGCTAGTGAAACAGACCGGGGGTGTGATGAGACGGAGGAAGTCCGACTTGAGGAAGCAGCGCCGGCGCTCATGCCGGCCCGGGAAGAGCGATGAGATCCGCTTGTCCTAGCGCCGGTCACCGACGGGACAGGCGTCCGCACGCCGCTGGTGGTTCATAGCTGCGTGCTGCCCGGGGGGAAGGCTGTACGTCTGAGTTCAGACTCTTCTTAGCATTTTCTTTGTGACCAGGGACTGGGCAACAGAATAAGTAACAGCCTTGCCACTGAAAAGCCTCCAGTTAGCGGAAGTGACGGGGGCACAGGCTCAGCCTCCTTAGGGAGCACAGTGGTCTGCCCTGCAGTTACGGAGCACCTTGCACTAGGCAGAGCTGGGGCTTCCCGGGGCATGGTCCCAGCGGCTGCTTGGCTTCTGATGAGGCCTGGTGGTGCTTTAGCTCCGCAGTAACTTCCTGTTCCTGTAAGAAAAACAGTAACGGGGACACCTGGGCGAGGCCTTGCCCGCAGCCCTGCTGCGTGGAGGCGTGAAGGCCCTGCTCGCCAGCACGCTGAACCGTGGCAGCACGTAGGTAAGGGCGCTGCGCAGACTGAGGGAAGTCACGGTGTGTGAGTGCTGCCTTCACAGACAGGCGGGCGAGGCGGAGTCGGGGGAGATCCCGCCGGAGGGAGGGGCGCACGGCGCCTGCGGGCAGTTAGCGCCGCTCCTCGGGCCGGACCTGGAGCGGATTTCCTTTGGAAATCTCTGAGGTCCCCCCGGAGGCCTGGTGGCCCAGGGGAGCGAGGCGTTTCTTCTCTTGAACAGATCTGAGCTCTGTATTTGGTGAATGCAGGGACAGAGCTGTATGAAAGGTGCGCTGACGGGGCGTGCTGGTCAGCACGCTCGCTGCTGCTGAGAGGCCCGTGGGCTGTGAGCGGCACAGGCGGCAGCCCCTGCGGCCCTGTGTCCTGCTCGCTCTCACAGAACCGTGGGGTTCCCACTTGGGAGCCTGCGCGTCCGTAACCGCCGCCGCCGGCTGGTGTGTTCCGTGCGAGGGCCGCCGTGCTCCGGGAAGTGGGGACCCGGGGCTGGAGGGCCAGGTGGATGCCGCGGGCCGCGGGCACGCTGGAGCTGAGGGGAGGGGAGGGTGGGGAGCAGTAGCGTCTGGAAGCTGACCTGGTCATTGCATGTCGCCCGGGGTGGCGGCGGCCCCCAGGGAGGGGAGGGCTGGAGGCAGAGGCTCTACGCTCACAGGTGTGCGCTTGCCCCTGAAGGCACACACCTGAGGGAAGGCTGCAAGTTTGACCTTTCCCAGCACGGTCATTACAGGTGTACGGTAGAAATAAAAGTGCGTGGTGGAGAGGGACATCGCGGGGTTTAAACTCGTTACGTCTGCCTGCGAAAGCGCTGCGCACGGCGGCAGGAGGCAGGTTCGGGCGAAGCGCTCGGCTAGGGCCACGCTGTGTCCTGTGGCCGTTGCCCTCTCTGCTGCCGTCCTCGCTGTGTCCCAGCTGGTCCTTGAGGGAGTCCTCCCTGCCTGGGCTCCATCCCTTGGTGCTCAGCCTGAGGCTGTGTTCTGGGGGCCACACAGCAGTCTGTCTTGTTCCTGAAGAGGCGGCAGGTAGGGAGCTCGGGCATCCCCGGAGGAGTTGGGTTCTGTGTGCGGGCACGCACAGGCACACACACGCGCGGACGCGTTCCCACTTCCCAGCGCAGTCCTGGGAGGCCACACCAGATAAAGCCACACTTTCTCCCAGCGCTGCCTCTGTGTGGAACACGGGCCCCATCGTCCTGCTTGCTGTTCTCATGCTTTCTCTAATTCGCTCTGCACCCGTAAATGTCAGGAGTCTCTCATCTGGTAATGAATTTACAGTTAATATTGCTCAGAATAGAAGTCAGGCTTTTAAAAATGCTGCGTATGGCAATCAGAATACGGCTGAGTCCCAAAGATCTCTTCCTTCCTAAGCTGCTTGGTTGTTTCTATGGGAAAAGGTTTTCTGAGCTCCAGGGTTGACAGTTCTAGACACAAGAGCAGAGCAGACTTCACCCCATCAACCCTGAATCCTGAACAAGGAGCCAGGCTGTATTGGAGGAAGAAAATAGAGTCCAGGAGGTCCATGTGACACGAGTGCAAATCTCTGCCCCACCACTCCCCAGCTGTCTTACTCCCACAAAACACTTGTGCCTCCTGAGCCTCAGTTTTCTCCACTGTGAAATGGGTATAAAACAGTATCAGGTTCTTCAGTAAGCTGATGAGATGTTCATGAAATAATTTATGTGAAGCACCTGACTCGGTACAGGTGATGTGCTAGGTGAGTGATAACACGTCTTTCTTTCCTTCATTTCTTTCTCCCTTTCTGGGGGAAATCAGTGAGCTCCCAGCAGAATTTGAAAAATGAACTCGTTTTCTTTCTGCCCATCCTTCCCAGCCCAGAACCAAGACTCTAGGTCTGCTGTTTTCTGTTCCAACCTCCTTGGTGCCGGGTTCCCAGTCCTGACCTTAGCAGGTGTCATGAGGACAGTGGCGCTGATTCAGCTGTCCTTGGAGAAATGACTCCAAGGCAACTCTTCCAAATCAGTTTGTGCTCTTATTTAGAATATTACTATCTATTAACGCAAATGATGTTGTAGTTGGTAAAACTTCTATTTTTAAAAAAATACAAAACCAAGGAGAAGAATGCCTGAGCAGGGGCCGTGGCGGGCCAGGGTGGACCATCACCAGGAGGAAGCTGATGTGCCCTCTCGTCCCAGCTTTGGGGTTCTGAGGGGACACGGACGAGAGGGCGGCCGACTGGGCCTGGAGCAGCGGTTCTGTGCGGCTGTGGCAGTCTCAGTAGCTGAGTTTTCTTCCTTTGAACTTCTAAAATGACGTCACAAAAGGTGTATGTGTATTATACGCTTTTTAAAAACAAACTTTTAGTTTAGAAATAATTCTAGATTTTCAGGAAAGTAGATTTCCCTGTGCTCTTCACCCGGTTTGCCCTGTTTTATCTGACGGCACCGTGGAGCACTAGGAGAGCAGCGCTGGCCCGCAACAGTGCCCTCCACGCTCGGTCCGAGTTCCTCGGCGTTTCCCCGACGCCCCGCTGCAGGGCCAGGACCCTGTCTTGGAGAGCGCACGCCCCGAGCCTTCCTGTTCCCTTGGCCCCCCGTCCCTGCAGTCTCCTCAGTCTCGCCTTGTGTCTTCGTGGCTTTGACAGCTCGAGACGGACGACCAGACGCCTGTGTTGGGCAGATGCTCTGCCGGGCAGCGGGGTCTGTGGGCGTGGGGAGGGAGGGGCAGTGGGGCACCCTCCTGGCTGCCCTCACGGGCGCGGACTGCCTACCCATGGGGGCATAGCTTTGTGTCCCGGCCCTCACCATGCTGCTGTCACTGAAAGATGTTTTTTCCCTTTGTGTAGCTGTTAAGAAGCCTGCTCCAGCACCCCCGAAGCCAGGAAACCCGCCTCCTGGCCATCCCGGGGGCCAGAGTTCCCCAGGAGCATCTCAGCTTCCACCAAGTGTGTCACCAAAGCCAGCCACTCGCAGTCCTTCTCCTCCCCCGCAGCACACCGGCCAGGTGCCAGGCCCGCTGCCCGCCGCCGCCCAGCCCTCTGCCCCCCGGAGGTACTCCAGCAGCCTGTCTCCAATCCAAGCACCCAGTCACCCGCCGCCACAGCCCCCCACCCAGGCCACACCGCAGGGGCACACCAGGCTGGGCAGCCAGGGCAGCCCCTCCTCTGGGGCTCTGCCTGGTGAGCAAGGACTTGAGCAGCCGTCTCAGACCCCTCCCCAGACTCCAACGCCCCCCAGCACCCCACCTCTGGGGAAGCAGAACCTCAGCCTGCCGGGATCCCAGACGCAGGCAGTGAGTAACCCTGAGACTGCACAGCCACATGCTGGAACGCTGCCGAGACCCAGACCAGTACCAAAGCCACGGAACCGACCCAGTGTGCCTCCGCCCCCTCACCCTCCCGGCGCACACCCCGCTGGGGGCAGCAGCCTCACCAGTGCGGCTCTGACGGCTTCCAAAGTAGTGACAGGTAAGTGGGAAGTGGCTCCCACGGCCCCCGTCCACTCTTGGTTGCTTGGTTACTGCTCCTGAGAGCAGGACTCAGCAAACTGCCGGCTGAACGGACCTGGCCCCAGCTAGCGTGCAGAGTTCCAGCTTGACCGGCGCGCAGCCATGCCCGCTGGGTGACGTAAGTCCCTGGTTGCTCTGTGCAGAATCCGCAGTGGGGCCGAGGAGCTGTAGAGATCCTACAGCCTGCAAAGCCTAAAACACCCACTGCCTGGCCCCGTAAGTTTGCTGAGCCTTGCTTTACTTCATGTTTAGGACCAGTCTGCATTTCCACTGTTCTGAGCATAATGATTCTTAATCCAGGTGGAAGGTATGCATAAGCGTGAAATTAATTTCTTGGTAAATTCCTTTTTAAAGTTTATTTTCCAAGAGTAAAAAAGTTGCCATAGTAATGAATTTCAGCGATGACTTCAAAGTCACGATTTATGCTAACGTGGGTGCTCTGGGACCTCGGCTCTGAGGGCCTCGTTACACCAGCGCTGGCCTCACGTCGCGGTAGAGGGGAAAGGCGGCTTCCTGTAAGCCCCGGGGGAGTGTTCAGCTGTGGTGGGGCGCATACAGATTTTAATGGACAGCCTCACGGAGTGTTTTTAATAGGCAGTCTAGGATGTGGGCACATTCTTTAATTATGATTTAAAAGTACTTCCATCTCAGTCACTCAGATTTACTATTTAATTTTAAAAGGAATTTTTTGTGTTTTAAAAAATAGTAATTAGAAGCTCCACTTCATTTCTTACAGCAGCCTCCTCTTAATTAAACTGTCTAGTTACAAATTATTCTGAGGAGAAGCTGAAATATCCCTCTGGGCTCCTCAGCCGTCCTGAGTGGTGTCTCAGCAGAAGGTCAGCCAGCAGTACAGCCAAAACCGATACGGCAAATGGTCACATTACCTGATTTAAAAGTGTCTTTTGATAACTTTTCTTTTTCAGGAGTGTAACACCGAACACATATACCTGTTCATAAATGGTTAATAACTTCTCTTGTGACACAACATTTATTTTGAAAACTGCAAAACCCACACTGGTTTGTTTGCTTGTTTGTTTCCCGATAGATGCCCTCCCTAGCGCCCTCACAGGTGGGGAAGGTTTCCAGGACTAAGGTCTGTAAGCCCCCGAGCAGCTTGAACCGCAGCTCCCAGTGCTCCTGCTTAGCTGTGTTCCGTGTCTGTGCTTTTGACTTCGTGCTCCGCGGGGCTCTTTGCTGCCGCGCGCTCTGTGGCAGGCAGACGTCCCTTGCACTGTCGTCAGAAGCTCTTGGAGCTTCAGTGCTCCGAATGCAAGAGGCACATGTCAGTAGGTTGAGAGCCCGATTCAAAGCCACTCAGAGCAGATGTGAAGAACAGGTCCTTCTCTTTGGGAAGCCTTTCACAAGCGTTCTGCTCGTCCAGTGCACTTCGCCTGTCCTCAGCTTGCTCCTCCGGAGCCAACAAAGGGCACTTGGGTGCCACCAGCGTAGAACATGGTGCCCCTGTGTCTTGCGCTGTAATTTTAATTTTTGTATTTTGAGTGCAAGTTAACTGCATGGAGCTTCTTAATTATGTCTGAAATCCTCAGAACGACAAAAACAGGTTTCCCCCAACAGTGTCACTCCGAATTCCTTCAGACGCGTCTGCATTCTGGCATGCTGAAGTTTGGCTTTCTTAAACCACAAAGCTCGTGAGCAGGCACTGTGCAGGACCAGGCACGGCGTAGTGCACACCTGTAACCCCAAGGTGTGGGAAACGGGAAAGGACTGCAAGTTCGAGCCTGAGCCCCCTAACTGATTTAGTTGGCCCCTGTCTCAAAATAAAAAAATAAAGAGCCGGATGTTGGTCAGTGTGAAGGCCCTGAGTTCAAGCCCCAGTACCACCAAAACAAATCCAGCATGAGGCCCATCGGCACTGTCTCTCAGCGCACGTTTGAGCGGCACAGGCGTCTCCTTAGGCGGGTGTTCGGTCTCACCAGAGCCCTGAGCCTCTTGTGGGCCACAGAGCCAGAGCGTCCCCAGCGTGCTGCGCGCAGCAGACGGCGAGGGCAGCTTCGAAGACACGGGGGTCGCAGGCGTGATTCCTCTCCCTCGCTTTTTGGCAGCTAACCCAGAAACCTGGGGGTGACTGCGTGGGCGTGGGAGTCGCTCACGTAAAGTGACCAAGCCCTCACTTTTTATTTAAGTGGGAGACTGCAAACCAGAATTACGCTTGTTCTTCAATACCGTTGTTGCCTGAGATGCGTTCGTGCCAGAAGGTAGTTCTGGTGATCTGTTGCAACGCTGCGGTGCACTGGCCTTTATAAATTATTGGATAAGTGATATTTCACATTTAGAAGTACTTCTCCTGCCGGGCGTGGTGGCGCACGCCTTAATCCCAGCACTGGGGAGGCTGAGGCAGGAGGATCATTGTGAGTTCAAGACCAGCCTGGGCTACAAAGTGAGCTCCAGGCCAGCCCGACTGCATAGTGAGACCCTGTCTCAAAAAGACCAAATAAATAAATAAATAAATAAATGTACTTTTCCTTAAGATGTTAGCTACATATTTAATCCTTCTACGCAATGAACTCTCCTAACGCAGGATATTCCGGGTCACCTTAACTATCTTTGTATTACAGAATTAACCTTTAATCCCTTAAACCTCCCTGGAACACTAGTGGAAGTACGCAGAAGACCAGCATTTAGAATTCAGGAGTCCACTGGAGGTGTCCCTGCCACCGTTAGTCAGTGAGGCTTGGATATGGCCGTGGGGTTTTTCAGGAGGAAAGGAGTAGCTGCCTTGGACGGGGCAATCTTTTATTGTGACATCACGTTTTTGCTTGGGAGATTTTAGACAGACCGATTCCTGACAACAGGGTTATTCGTTTAGAGGAGTTAGTTTTAAAGCACTGAGCTGAGGCTTGTGGGGTTAAGGTGAGCTCCTGGGGGACTTTACTGCTGCCAGCTGAGCTCTGCTGGAATTCTGTGTTGTTTTGGGTCTGGAGCTCTTAATGATGATTCAAGAGAACTATCCTCAAACGAGAGAGTTTACCACCTTGCTGATTTTAAAGTAATAGTATTTAGCCAAGAGTGTTCTAATTTAAACATTTTATTAAATAATTTAGATGTATGACCTGCCATATTCAGTAAGAACTGAAATTGGAGTGTTTAATGGTAAGGAAAAGGCACCTGATTGGCCAAAGCATTTTTGCTGCTGTACGATCATACGTGTGCACTCATGCCTGTTACTAACCAGATACCTTCGCCCCGTGTGCTCGCACCCTACTAATAGTGCATGTGTGAGGGGGACTGGCTTTGTTCGTGCTCGCTGCCGAGTCTGAATGCTCACAGACGTTAACTGCTAACCTACACTTCCTGAGTTCCCGCTCCTTTCCCTGTCCAGCAGGCTTGAGGGATGGCAGGAGGAGCGGACACTGCGGAGTCGGACACCGCAGTTAGAGCTTCAGCTCTGCAGCCTCAGGCGGGGCGCAGGCTGGGTGATCCGTGGGGTGGTAACAGCAGAACTGCGGAGAAGATTGAATTAGACAAAATGAGAAAAGCACCTGTTACAAGTTATAGTCTAGTGGGTTTAGATAAATGGCAGTTATTGTTTACCTAGAAGAAAATGTATTTAATCAGTTACACATTAGATTCACTGGTCAACATTTTAAAGCTTAAGTGCCCAGATCTGGCCTTCCTGGACCCAGAGACAAGAGGCCAGGGGCAGGGTTGAGGTATCTGTATTTTAACCTAATGCACCCCTTGGTTTTCCTATTATCAGTTCTTTCACTGGTTAAAGGACAGTGCTTAGCGGAGTGTGGGGTGCGTGTCTGTGATCCCAGCACTTTGGGAGACTGAGGCAGGAAGAACGTAAGTTGGAGCCCACCCTGGGCAGCTTAGCGATTTAGCAGGCTCTGTCTCAAAATGTAAAATAAAAGGCTGGGATGTGGCTTAGTGCAAACCACCCCAGAACGTTACTCTTTAATTTAATGAGAAGAGTCACGAGGGAGCCCGAGGTCGTTCATCTACTGTACGGTGGACCGGACAAACCGATGGAGTCGCGCTCTCAGTACTCACGGCTGGACAGTGTGCTGGCCCCCCCGGGCTCTCTTCCTGACATCAAACCTCCCTGGTGTCGTGAAAGTAATACGCTTTTAAATAGTAAGCATGGGTGTGAAGGAAATCAGAAATAACATGAAATCAGCAATAGTTCTACACTTGGGGAGTCCTGTTGATACTTTTTAAAAATTCTGGTTCCGTTTTTCTGAAGGCAGGAAGGTATAGGATCATAATTATTCTGCACAGACAGACCTTAATCCTGCGCTTTGTTCATGTTTGAGGCAGGGTGTTGGTAAGTCATTCAGCATGGAGGCGACCTTGTGAACCGTGCCTCAGCCTCTGCAGTGCTGGGATTGCAGGCGTGGGCCTCCACGCCCCGCAGTCGGGATTTTACTTTCCTTCCTATCCTGTGCTCTCTCCCATGTGGCATTTTGTTTTTATAACATTCTCTTTAATGACTGCATAATATTTCATCAAAAAGATATATGATTGCTGTAGTTCATAGAAATGGCTTCTACTTCGATTTTCAGATTATTTTTAATGAGTAAATAACAGAAGCACCCAATATAAACAGCCAGTGAGACCCGAACAGAGGATCTCCTTTAACTGGAGTAATAAGTAACTGACTGGAAGTCTGTCATGGACTGCAACGTCAGTGAAAGCCTTAAACACTGGTGCCCAATAGAGGGAATGGACGTCCCCGGACTCTGGGCAGGGAGGAGGGCTGGGTGGTGGCCTGGGGCTGATGTTCACCCTGCTGTTGAACTTGAACCTCTGCATTTCAAGGGTGTTTGGGATCTGTTACTAGCCCAGGTTGTTATCAGGTAACCTTGGCCTTTTTAAAGGATAGGTTCATAACCTAAAGCACATATTTGAAATTGTTGATATGACAGATAATTCTGAGTAATAGAACGCCGGTCTGGAGAGGCAGCTTCCTGCCTGAAGACGCTCAGGAAGCACCTGGGTGACATCTGTCAGAGCCTCGGCCCCTGATGGGCTGAGACTGGGCAGTGGGAGTCTCTTTTTTCTTTTTCTATTTTAAATGTCGTATGAGTAGGACAGATGTGTCCCCCCCCCCCACCTTATTAACGTGCATTCTGCCGGGGAGAAATCTGAGTATCTTCACATCCATGCCCGCGAACGCCTTTGGCTGCACCAGCAGGTGGTGTAATTCAGCTGGTTCGGTTGGTTTTCAGTAGTGGTAAGACCTGAATTGTCTGAAATGACAGGGAGCGCCTAAGCTCTTCAACACCCTGGTCCTTGCATGAGTCTAGGAATTTTCCCAGCTGTGTCCCCTAGGGAACCTTGGGAGGGGTCTGTCAGCCCAGAGATCCGGGATGAGCGAGCAGTGCCCTGGGAGTAAACAGGTCTCAGAGCTGGGGACTGAGGGCAGGAACAGGGGCGGCCGTGGGGCAGGGGACATTTTCAAAGTGGCAAACCTTGCAGAAGCACCGCAGCGTTTGCAGCTGTGTCTGCCCGGCTGAGGGGTAGGCAGAAGTGCTGTGAAAGCCAGGCCCTGCACGATAGACGAGGGTAGTGGCACTCCAGCAGGTAAGGCAGCCAGCCCTCAGCATACCTGCAGCCGCAGCAGCTCTGGCTCCCCGCCTGCTCCCTGCTGTGACCAGCTTGAATATCACATAGTCAAACTACAACAAACCTAAATGCGTCCCTTCACTCTCACACCAGTCCTAGGATAGCGGCCAGGGCTGCTCTTGTAATTTGCTAGAAACTGAACCTTCTGTGTTGGTTAGGGCTGGGCTCCTGGACTTGACGGCAGGCGTCACTAAGGCGACGTCGGTCCGGTTCACTGTCGTATCCTCGGCAGGTAGAACAGGCCCTGGCGTGTAGTTGCTCTTCTGTAAGTAGCTGCTTGTGAAGGAGTGAGCCAGATGCACTGGCCTCTCTGGGAGGAGAACTGAGCGGGTGGAGGTGTCCCACACCCTGGGGTGAGGCTGGAGGGCCGTGTGTTTGCCATCTTACTAAAGGAATCTGAACTACCGAAAGACGTGGAAGGGAACCGGGTATACTGGAAGGAGAAGGGGAACGAATTTTCGCAGGAAACGTGGGGGACTGCTCATTATGGTCAGCTTGAGGTGACTGTCCCCCAGGGGCCGCCGGCAGCGGCGTGGGACATTTTGAGTAGTCACGGGGGTGCGGGGGCAGATCGCCCCTGCCAAGTGCCGGGAAAGGCCAGGGTCCTGCTCAGGGCACAGGGAGGCGCCTCGTGACGCAGAGCGACTCAGCGTGAAACGTTGCCAGGGCCAAGGTCAGGCTCGTAGCGTAAGTACCGGAGGGAGCCGCGTGGGCCTCGGGGCAGGCTTTTTCCGATGAGCTCATCTGCGCCCGCGTGTTGGTAGGAAAGTCCAGCTGCTGCGAGAGCGATCTTGGTAAGGGTAAGGTGGAGGAGGGGCCCTTCTTTAGTCACGGCAGGCAGGTCCTGCGAGGGTCCCGTGTCCGAGGGCTGCCGGGGCTGCAGGAAGGCACACCAGAGCCCAGAGGTGAGCTGTGCCGTGCGTCTGCCCGCTAGGCTCTCGCAGGCTTGCCGTGACTCCTCAGGGCCGCCAAGGGCGCTCTAGTCAGGGCCTGTGTGTGCATGGGCGAACTGGAACCCCCCAGCCCCTCCTGCTCGGGGTGCCTTTGGGGCCGCGTGGGCGTCACCCTCGTTGATAGCGTGTCTCCTCGTGTTTTTGTCCAGACACCAATTCTAGGGCCTCAGAACCGCTTCGCAGCATCTTCCCTGAAGTACACTCGGACTCAGCAAGCAAAGACGTGCCTGGCCACATTCTGCTGGATATAGACACCGACACGGAGAGCACCGCCTTGTGAAGAGAGCCGCCTCCCGGCCCGTGGCCCCGGCCACCCCGGTGCCTGGAGTTGGCGGGCGACCTTCTGTCTTTGCAGACCAAACAGCGACAAGCTTTCGGTGGAGAAGGCCTCACCACGGAGGACTCAGACCCTGCACAGCCCAGGGAGAACGTGGAGGCCAGCACTTACAGCTGAATGACCTGTGTCTTGAAGAAGTTGGCTTTCTTCACGTAGGAAAGAAATCGTGCCCCCAGCATCAGAAACCTCGAAATACCTAAGGCGAGAAGAGTACTACTGCGGAGAAGTGTGCGGGAGCTTTTGCCACTGCTGTGCACGCGGGCAGCACCAGCAGCAGCTTGGAAGGGACGAGAGCCGGCGCCTTGACCCTATTTAATAAGACCATCCGCACCAGTCACCGGCCCGCCCCGCACGCTTACAGGCTGCAGGGCCGCTCGCTGTCAGGTGCGGTCCTCTCCCCCCAGTCCCCCAGCCACGCGCGGTGAGGCTGACTGCTGGACCTGTCACTCACCAAGCTGGACGTGACTGTGCCTTGTTGGATTGCCAGAATGTAGACAGAAACGTACTGTTGTTTTTTAAGAAAGGAAAAAAAAAAAAAAAAAACAACAATGTAATTGCTACTTGATAAGGACCGAACATTATTCTAGTTTCATGTTTAATTTGAATTAAATATATTCTGTGGTTTATATGAAAACTTGGTGGTTCTTGGAGTGTGTGTGCGTGTGCTCATGCGTGCGTGCATGCGTGTGTGCACAGCCCATGTAGGGTGTAGATGCGGTGTCCCAGGGGCTGCAGCAGTTTGAAGGAATGGAGAGCCACGCCACGGCAGCGAGAGAAGCCGCCAGTGCCCCAGAGACCGCCCGGACTGGCTGCCCCTCCGTGAGCAGGCACTGGTCAGGGTTGTGCTCGCGGGCGCCCCGGTCCCGACCCCTTCCTCATCCGCCTAGAGAGGCTTAACTGAGGGAGAGCTCGTCTGCAGCGACCCGGCCTCCGCGGGGCGAGTGCCTGTGTGCCAAGCACACTGTTCCTTGTCCAGCGGCCGCAGTGCCCTCCTGCCCCGTCCGAACCTCTCCCCAGGGCTGGCGGGCGTGGGCGGATGCGGAGTTGGAGCGAGCGAGTGTCCGTGTGGACAGCTGTCCTCGTGGTGTCCCCGTCCCAGGGTAACTGCTAGGTTGGCTGCCTGGGGCCGTCCGCTGTTAGAGTGCTCCGTGGGGCGTCAGCCCCCGGCCCTTGGCTTGGAAGACAGGGAACCTCCCTTCACTGCGCGCAGACTCCAGCCTAGCTTGACAAGGGCACCCCAGCTCCCCCCCCAAGTTCCCGGTGGCCCCACAGCACTCTGTACATCGTCAGTTGCACTCAGGCTGTGCGCCTGGCCCCCATCTTACGTGCGCTCACGACTCACTCTTCCCTCCTGACTCGGCCCCCACCTTTAACTGTGGGACAAACGTTGCCAAGAAAGCAGTTTCTGTGCAGGTTGCTCCCCGGCACCTTGGTGTCCGCAGCGTCTGGGAGAGGCCTCGCCGTGGCGGGGCTGGCAGTCGGGAGGACTTGGGGACAGACGCTTGCCACGTGGGCACCTGGGAGTGAGGCAGGCCACGCTGACATTCCCCTCCACGTAGCATGTGCTACTGCAATTCTGTATCCCAACAGACGCTACCCTCACTTTTAAGAATGTCATTCTCTGTTGTAGCCCAGTCTTCAGAAAAATGAGAATTATTAGGCCCTGCAAGTGTATCCAGGGTAAATTCCAAACAGAAGCTGCTGTCCGTCGCCTGGAGGGGACCAGCCCCAGGGCATGGGCCCAGTGGCCAGCGTGGGATGTCCGGAGCTGTAACTGCGCGTGAAGCTCGTCTGCAGGCGGGGCTGCGGACGGCACCAGTGTCCTCTTCCCTTTTTTGTGCTCAGGACCCAGGATTCCTCCTGCTTGGAGAGTCGCCATGTTGCTTGTAGCGTTCGCTGTCACCACGCACGGCAGAGCCCTTACTCCCCGCCCTCCATGAGAGGGTGAGAAGTCTCCTCGGACTTCACAGTGGCTGCCCTGGGCCCTCCAGGGAGACACTCCCCTCTAGAACCCACCTTTCAGACCGTTAGCTTTGCGCCACACTCTTAAAGCTCTTAGGCCCGTTTCCTGGCTTTCCGTCCCACGCTTTTGCCTACACCACAACGTCAGGGGTTAGGACCCGTTCATCTTGCCACAGCCTGCAGTTTCGGACCCGTGTAGCGCTGTGGAAGGTCACAGCGGCCCCCGGGCTGGCCTGATAGTGCTGGCTTCTACCCACGCTCCCTCCGAGAGTTCAGAGGTGGTTGGGGTGACCCAGTCCCTGGACCATCTTGATGGCCCCGGTTCCCTGGGAACTCCTGGGATGGATTCCCATTCCTCTCTTGGGCTGCAGCTCATAGCACATTTCTCTTTGGAAATCTTCAAAGGTTGCTTCTGGTTTTCCTCCCTGGGTCCTGCTCCCAGCATCCCCTACCCACCTCTTACCTACCCGGCCCCACCATGTCTTCCCTCCGGTGGTCCCCGGGACCTCAGTCTCAGCGTCTCCCATCAGACATCAGGGGGCTACATCCTCTTGACAGGGATGTCTCTAGACCAGTGGCTTCCACAAGGGCGGAGCAAGGGAGGACGAGAGGTGTGCTGGAGTGAAGCCACTGGCCCTGGTGCAACCATAGAGCAAGGATTCTAACCCCGTGCCGCACCTCACAGCCAGAGTGGGCACTTGCGTCCCTCCCCTGGCAAGCAAGGCCCATCCCCCGTTGCAGTGCTTAGGAGCTCACACAACCATTCTTGCTCCACAATTACTCACACAAACTTTTCTGGGTTGGTTTGTGTTGCTGGCTACCAGGTGCCTCTGCTGCTCGCTCAGGCACGTGGCCGAGCAGACCCCGAGCACCCAGCCAGGCAGGCCTGCCTCTCACCCCTTCACCCGCTCACGTCCACCCGTGCATCCACATAGCGCACACCTGTGGGAGCTGTCTCCTGCGTGACATGAGTAACCGCATACGTAGGTGCCTATAGTAATACATCATCTCACCCCGCTGCTTTCAGGAGCCAGCCGCAGCCAGCTGGGACCTCCGCTCAGGTTCTCCAAGGCGGCACTCAGACATCAGCCGGGGCTGGGGTCTCATTGGGGGCTCAACCGAGGAGGACTCAGCCCAAGGCGCTCTCAGATTCTCACAATTCCTTTTCTTGCGGCAATGGGACCCAGGGCCTGGCTTCCTGCTGGCCAGCCTCTGGAGCTACGTACAGTTCCCTGAAACTCGAGTCACCCGGTGTGACTCCTGCTCCACCAAGCCAGCAAGGAAAGTCTGCGGTGAACTGCCAGCAAGGCGGTCTCGCGTAACGTAACACTGTGCACAGGGCGATTAAAAATGGAGCCAGTGCTTAAAAATTTTAAAAATCATTACAGTGAAAGGCACATTGCGGTTAATCCTCAGAATACTGCGCCTCCCTTCAAACACCTATCCCGTTGTCCTTGCCGCTTGCTGCAGTAGTTCTAGAAGCCCTTTCTCATGCCTGTAGTCCCGCAGTTGTGACCGCACCACGGTGCTCAGTCCATTCGAAGCGTTCACCGTGGTCATTCTGACTGAGGAAGTGTTGAAAGTTGCACAGTGCTGGGTGTGGTGAGTGAGGACCCTGCGGTGTTTTATGAGCCCGCCTTTCTGTTGGGTGACACTCCTTGGCCTCAACATTGACTGTATTTTTGATCGCACGTCCTAAAGACGCAAGGATTTCCAGAGCTGCTTCAGAAAGGGGCAAGAACGAGGGACACGTGTTTGAAGCGAGGGGACCTCTGGGTCTGGTCCTGATGCCCGCAGCAGAGTCACGTGTAGCTCGGGTGTTACACTGAGTATCCCACGGCTGAGAATGTGTCTAAACAAGCGTGTCCAAGGACAGACGTCAGAGGTAAGGTCGGATCCTTGAAAGTGGAGGATCTGGGAGTAAGGATTATGTTGAAAAGAAGTCTCATCCTAAGACAAGAACAACTTTCACCCCCGTCTGAATCTACCTTTGGTTCTCTCTGCGTCCTCAGCCGCCCGGGCTGGTCCTGAAGCCCGGAGCTTCGTGTCTGGGCTCACGCTGACACCCCTCTCTGTCTCTTGCACAGTAATAGACGGCCGGGTCCTTGGTTTGCAGTTTGGTCATTTGCAGACGCAGCGTGTTCTTGGCGTTGTCTCGGAGACGGTGAGTCGGGCCTGCACAGTCTGGGTAGCGTGTGCTACCAGCGCCTGTGCTGACTTCCCCACCCACGCCAGCCCCTTTCCTGGAGCCTGGCGGACCCAGCTCATCCAGTAGTCACGGAAGGTGAAGGCGCCTCAGGGAGCCCCAGGCTGCACCAAGCCTCCGCCAGACCACCAGCCGCACGTCACCCTGGACACCTGCAACACAGAGACACCCTGCTCAGGGACCCGTCACCCAGGCCCGCTGGTCACCCCGCTCACACCCACCCACACCCCCAGTAGCTCTTGCTCACCACAAATCACCTTTCAAAACAGCAACAAGGAAAAGCCAGCTCAGTGTAAGCTCCATGGTGAGCCTAGCCGTGACCAGGGAGGGAAAACACCTGGGCATGCAGAGCTGGGCTCTTCTGCACCGCTGCAGGGCCGGGCTGGGCTGGTTCTCATCCGCCGCGGGAGGCCCTGTTTGCATGGCCTCCTGCGGCACAGACAGCTCTCTTGTGGAAGCCTCAGCTAGGGATGGGTCCAGCGCACAGGAGAGCCTGGGAGGTATTTCGTGACACTCATTACAATGAATATACGATGTCTTGCTGTGTGCATGACCTCTTTAGCTTTCTACCAAAACTTCCCTAAGTTTTACAGCTGGGCACCTAGTACAAGAAGTGTAATAGGCCTACAAGATACGAACTCACGTGGGATAAGAACATCTTTTTATCTGGGCCTATGTCCTCCTCATGGTATTTACCTGCTCCATGAGCAGTTCCTAGACGGAGACGGCAGCTTTCCTGATGTCTCCAGACCTCTTCCTCCAACGAGAGAACATGAAAACGCGGGTGTTCCAGAGGACAGGTGCACCCATCTGTCCACCAGGCAGAGTGGACGTGAGGTACACATTCTGCTTTACAGGAGTTTTAGTGTAGTTAGGCAGACGGTTGAGAATTTAGTAATAAAATGTGGTTCGTGTTTCGAAGACACATAGTGGGGAAGGATGATCGTCTGAGCAAAGAGTAGAGTAGCATTTAGTCAAAACGAGAAGGAGGGAGTAGCACAAAGGCCTACTTATTCAATATGGAACCACAGTAATGGGGCCTTCTTTACAGCATTCACTCTGCTGGACGCAGCTGAGACGGAGGGTGTGAGGTGTGACCTGAGATTGACTAGGGAGAGGGGAGGGTCGTTAGGGGCCTTGCCTACAAGGAAGGTGAGCGTCCCAGAAGGTCCCTGAAAGATTCCAAGCAGAGGATTGGCTTAATCAGATTTGCTCTCTTGTTGGAAGCGGCTGAAGCTGGAAAGTAATTACCAGTACAGCACGGAGCCAGCCCGAGAACACGGGCGCCCTGAGAACAGGGGGGCCCCGAGAACACGGGAGCTCCTCCAGGAGCATAAACAAGCCGTTGTAGCTTGTTAACTGATTGCTGGGCAGGGAGGCGGGAATTAACCAACCTCTCGCGGGTATAAAACGCTTTCCTGGGCTTGTGCAGTTCCTTTTCTTGCTCAGAAGAGAGGGAATCTCCGCCCGATCCCAGCTTTTTGTCTCTTGTCTGTTTTCCGCAATGGGGTGGTGGGCGGAAGCAAGTTGGTGAGCTAGTATTCGGCACTGGAGTGCGGGGTACTGGCACGTCAGCTGTAAAGCATAGGGTACAGGCTCTCTAGGGCCCAGAAAATATAAAGACTTCAAAGTAAACCGGAAGGAGAAAAAGTACATCGAGTTTGTCAGTGGTTAAAAATGGGGCAGACTCCGTCTCAAGAATCACAGGAGGTCGTGAGTCGAGAGCTGTTTTTCGCAGGCTGGGCTCCTGTGATTTTCTTTTTTGAATGCTCACGAGAAGGGGTTTTACAACCAAAAGGACTCAGCCCTGAACATTATTTTAAAGTCAAGGCCCGAGCCTCAGCGAGACACGGAGGGCAGAGCAACGGTGCTGCTAGAGCCTGAGCCCTCGAGTCTGGTCCAAGTTAATAAGGAAGGCGGGGGCAGGAGGGACTTTCCCCACTGAGGTGCTGCCTCGCCAGTTCCGTCTTTCCCACACATCTGCCGTCAGTACAGTGCAGGCTCCCGGTGATCCAGGACACGTACTGCATCTTCGGGTTTGTGCAGGTGTCGGCTCCTCGCACGGGCAAGGGGCTGCCTTCCCGGCGGCTACCACGGGCTGTCCGCCCGCAGTCTGGAGGAAAGGGAAACACCGGGGCTGTTGCTTCCGTTGTGAGGATGAGGGAATTCTGCCCGAGGCCGCTCTGTTGCACCTGGAGGGCAGCTCGGCCACTACCGTCTCTTGGACAAAGCTTTCCAGGGCTCGCACAAAGTGTCAGCCAGGGAAGCCGGGAAAATGAGCGTCGGCCTAACGCAGACAGGAGACGCCGGCCCTCCCTGGGAGACTCGCGGCGGGGCCTGCCTGGGCCCCATCGAACAGCAGGGCCAGAGGCTGGTGCCGGGCAGGCCCTGCGCTTGGGTCCTCGGCGGACTCCGCGGGGAGTTCCCAGCCGCCCGCAGGGCTGCAGGCCCAGGCCGGCCTTGGCACCAACCGCAGCCCCGTGCGCCTGGGCTGAGCGGGGTTCCTGACTGCGCTGCACCCCGACTTAGGACACGTGCGCTTCTGGCGCTGCAAATTCACTGGGCACAAGTACTGCTTGCGCTCCAGATGTGGACAAGAAGAAACTATCCGGCGGCCAGAGCGGGCTCCCCGGTGCCTGGGGTCGAAGGCCTAAGACGACGGCTGCGTATTCCCGTCCCTTCCACCGGCAAACTGGGTCCCCGAAAAGCGTTTTGGACGCCTCTGCCGCCACGCTGCCTGCCGACTAGTAGGGGGCTGCGGCTGCAGAGACAGTAACCTCCTCGCTGCTGGGGCGGGCGGGTGGCAGTGCAGCCCATTTCTGAGAGAAAAAGGACAGTTGAGGCCCCGCCCCGAGGCAATAAAATAAAAGCTGCAGCCAGAGGCTTGCTTCAGAGAGACCAGGTTTTGCCTGTTGTCACTGAAATTCAATGACTCAAAATCTCAATCTCCCCAGACTCTCCTACTGCTCAGGCACTCTCCCCTTGACAAAAAATAATAATAAAAAGTTACAAATAAAGGGGATCAGAGGATTTTGGATCTTCTGACACCTACTGCTTTCAATAGCTCAAACAAAATCGCCCCGAGACAGAATTGCCTATTAGGGAAAAAACATTTAAAGGGCTTTTAGACCAGGGTGTGGGTGTTTCAGTGACTGCCCAGCCCCGCTGGCTTCAAGCATGGCCTCTGGATGGCGCCACTACAGGGAGAGGGCAGTGTTTCTCGCCCTAGCAGGTGTTAAGTAGCTAACCTGGAAAGATGCAAAATAAAAAACAGATAAGACGCTACAGTGAGCTACGACACTTGCCAAGGGGCTGCGTCCACGTGCGAGTGGTTTTATTCTCCTAACATAAGGGCTCTGGCCAGTAGCTGAGGGAAGGAAGATTCTCTCTGGCATCAATCTGACCCTGCAATTAGAGTACGTTTTATGGATAGATGCACATTTTATGTTTTGGAATTTTAGTGGTAACTAATTTAGCGAACCAAACTAAAGTTAAATGACTTTTTTTTCAAGTACATCCCAGAGTCTACTCCTAGACACCGCACTGATCCTTTTAAAGAGGGATCCTAACAATGTCCTGATAATTTCTTTGAAAATGTATGGAAAGTGGAAATTATAACAGATTACTGGTTTGCGACAGTGCTCAAGTCACGGAACGCAGCGACACTGTCCCGATGCTCGCTGACGATATGGCCCAATCCTGGAAGTCACAAACCGGCTACGGTGTTTAGTCACAAGTACATGCAACTAAATGCGTACACAGATAACATGTGGGTTATATAATAAGCTATGAGGTGACCATGAAAGAATTTTTACGAGAATTAACTGGAGGATTCTACCCTAGTACTCCTAGGTCAAAAATACCTAATGATAGCAGCAATGTCTTATTTATAGGACAGGTCACGATGAGGACGGTTTCTTGAAATTTGAAGATTCTGAAAAAGTTACCAACATAGGACTTGCAGATGTTTTTGGACAGAGGGGGCTGTTACCCCAGAGTGTCCTGAGCGACCTGTTTGGGCGCCAGAGCATGCGGTCAGGCTGTATCACGAAGGATGACGGAGTTGGAGAAAAGCTTATGTATTAGAGATGACAGGTGACTAGCCGGAAAGGCTTTATAACCCGTCGTTTACAAAGCAGAGAAGAGATGCTGGGAAGCAATTACACGTGCAGGACGAGGCCAGCCCGAGAGCACGGGAGCTCCTCGAAGCGCGTCAACAAGCCCTCGCAGCTTATTAACCGAGTGCTGGCAGCGAGGCTGAAACTAATCGCCTCCCGAGGTGTGCTGTTCCTGGGCAGGTCCCCTCTTGCTCAGAGAGGCCCTCTGCCTGACCCCTGCTTTTTATCTACTTTTCCTCATTCTCGCCCCCGTTCCTTCCCGGGGTACAGCAAGAACCCATGCGGTCCCTGGCTGGAGAAGGGGCCAGACTGGGTGTGTGGGAAGGGCAGTCGGGAGGCCGGTGGCCTGAGCCCCCTGTAGGGACAGGTTACTGAAACGGGCGTGCACCCCAACCAGAGGCGGCAGAGGGCGCAGTGTCTGGGGCGGGTCGCTCAGGCCTAGCGGAAGTCTGTTCCTCCTGCTTCCCTCCGTTGGCCCCGGAGCGGGGCACTCGGCCTCTCCCATGCAGATGGCCCCGAGAGCCCGCTCACCTCCCAAAGCCTCTATGGTCTTGCCAGAGCAGTTACATGGGTCTGGATAGAAGCTCCCTTAGCAACCAACGCCCCCCAATACCCACAGCTGAGAGCACGGCGTTTACCTTTGTGCAGCCCATAGCTGTTATCTGGATTCGTGTGGAAAGGCCCGTCCTGATGGGGGAACGCCAGGCTCATACCGTTCCCAGGTGTTCAGTGCGTCAGCAGGGAACCCAGGAGGTATCTCTGCGTGCCTGTGGTCAGGTGGTTCCTCAGCCCATGTTTCCCATTTTCTCCTGTAGCCTGGAAATGAGGGTCCCTTGAGAAACTGGGACCACTACACCACTTTCCTGTTAGTAGCTCCACCCACACGTTTAGCCCAGGACCAGGGTGCTCCCCCAGAGACGGCTGTGCACATGGCAGACTCTGCTCCTACAGGTCATTTCTAAGGACCTGTCAGGTCCCAGACCAACAGCCTGAGATGCTGGTGTTCTGCACAGAACCAGCGGGTGGTCGCTCCCGGGCCCAAAACAGCATGGGCCCCCAGCCAGGAGATTCTTTGCAGACCTTCTTCCTTCTGGGTGCTTGTTTAGCATTTCATGGGGAATTAGGTAAAGAAACGTTTCTGTAAGGCAGAACTTGAGAAGTGCACATAGTTGTGTGCTTTTCTTATAAGCATGAGATTCCACAGCAAAACAGTTCTGTTTTCAAGAAAATCATACCCAGGAGCAAGTACTATAAGGAGAAAACCTCAAGATCAGCTATAGCTTTCAGAAAGGAGCTTGGACAACATGGCAGTCGCCTATAATCCCAGCTCCTCAGGAGGCTGAGGAAGGAAGATTGCAAGTTCAGGGGCAGCCTGGGTAACTTAGTGAGAGCCTGTCTCAAAATTAAGGCTTAGAGGGGTGTAGATCATTACATCCCTGGGCACAACCTCCAGTTACTGCAAAGGGAAAGAAGGAAGGAAGGAGAAAGGAAAAGACCTAAATGTCCTGACAAGAACGGCCCACGAACACCTTTTGAAGCCTCATAGTAAACAAACAGAAAAGCTTTATTATTACTTTCATTAAAAAAATTGTTGAAAACAAAACAGACACCTGGTTTTCCTCACACTAAGCAAAGTAGCCCCAGAGGAAGATGGCGCAGGTAATGCAGACAATACAGTTGATGTCCAGCAGGGTTTTCACCGTGGGGCTTTCCTCCAAGGAAGTCAGGGGGGGTTCCACTTTGTCTGGGGGCGCTGCTTTGCCCTTGTCCATCCCACAGAGCCACAAGATGGCCTTCACCACCTTGGACTGCTTTGGGGCTGCATCACCTGAAAGGAACCAGTGAACGAAATCAGATGGGCTGTATCTGCCTCCCAGAGAAAGAAGGGCGGTAGCCAGCTGCGTTCCTGCAACAGAAGTACTTTAAGTGCCTTTTCTGGAAGGTACTCTCCACCCTCCCTACCCGTGGTCCACAGCCGCAGATCAACCCAACACAGAAGGAAAATATGTGGGAGCAAATTGGGTCTGCACTGAATGTGTTGTATAGATTTTCTTTGCCGTTATTATTTGAACAATTCAGTGTAAGTATTTACACTGTATTAGGTTTTTACAGTATACGGGAGGAGTGTGCCACTTTGTACGGGGGATCTGAATGTCCATAAGCTTTAGAATCTCGGGAGTCCTGGAACCAGTTCCCCGAAGATACTGCGGAATGACTGCATCCATAAACTGGGAAGTCTATTGAATTCTAGAAGGTTCCTATTTTCAGAATTTCAATGTCTCCAGCTGAATTTCGGTGAGGAAATTGAACCTCATACTAACGAGCAAAGCCGCAGAGCTGGTAATCTGTGGCAGAAGTGGGGTCAGACCTTTTGTGTCACTCTGTCTCCCGGGAGGCTGCCGGGACATGAGCACTTTGGTGGAAAACTTAGTTTTTTGTTTACAGCTGGGGCAGTAAACAGCTGTTTACAGGGTCAGATAAGTAACACACTGAGTCAGGGGAAGCATATTTGCATATATTAAACACTTTGAAAATAGGCTTCACCTCTACCAAGAAATATGCTATTCCCCATTTTTCTTTAAGAACATGGCTTTCTGGAGTTTCCCACTTTTTGGAGTTTGCCACTTTCAGTGGACATGGGTTCACATCCACAGTATCCAAAATTAAGAACCAAGCAAACAAAAGCCATGACTGTCCACAGGCCCAAGATCATGTGGATAGTGGGGAGTGGTGGGGACTTTGACTGAAGAACACAACCCACGTCTAAGGGACGGCTGCCTAACGGCGGCTGCATGTCATGTCCACCATGTAGACGCATGCGCTCAGTGTCGTTGCGTTGTCCTTTCAAGAGAAGGTGGAAATCGATGTTAGCTCATTCCGATAAAGCCAGTGTTCCTCGGCCTTTTTGGCAGCGGAGACCGGTTTCACACGAAATAGTCCTTCCATGGTCGGGGGTGGTGGTTTGGGGATAATTCGAATGTGTGCAACCCAGATCTCTTGGACACGCGGTTCACAATGGTTTGGGGCTCCTGTGAGATCTGACGCCCTCCGTGATCTCCAAGGGTGGAGCGCGGGCAGTGACGAGAGCCTGCAGGTAACACCAACGAAGCTTCAGCGTTCCCGCCACTGCTCATCCCCTGATCTGTGACGCTGGTGCCTCCCAGGCCCCAGACAGGTACCATGTGTGGCCCGGGGCTTAGGGACCTCTGATTAAAACAAGTTAAAGGGGCCGGGGATACGGCACAGCAGCACAAGCGCCTGCCTGACGAGCACAAGGTCCTGAGTTTGATTCCCAGTACAAAAAAGAAAACCAGGTGGGCAACACTAAAATCTGTCTACAAGCTTCCCGGGTGGAAATCCTCATTCGGAGGTGCTGCAGTGCTCCAGCTGACTGTGAGAGGTCCATAAGGATTAATGGACTGTTTTCCCTGGTCAACAGGAGCCCATCTGAGACTTGTCTGGGAGGTGGGTACCAATAACCCCTTCTGGCAGCTGCGGGGTGGGGAAGACACTAAAATTCCAAGTCTGCCCCCTCTTCTCTAGCCTGTGAACACATAATGCTGCTCCTTGACTGCTAATGTAACTAAGGCGAGAGGCAGGTAACTCACCGTTGTGGGTTTTGGACATGCTTTCTTGAACAATCTCAAACTGGGTGCTGGTGGCTTCTGGAGTCCCGTTCTGAGAGAGGGCGGGCGGCAGGGGCGTTTCTGGGGGCCCTTGTTCCTTCTGGACCACAGGGTCATGGCGGGTAAACCAGGTCAGGCGACTGATCTTAAGGCACAGAGGTGAGTTGTAAAGACACGGGAGAGGCTGTGAGCCCGTTCTTCACCTGCCCCCTGGAAGCCCCTCAGCCTCCCCCCTGCCCAAGGCTGCCCTGTCTTCCCTTCCAGCCCACCCTCCAGCAACCTTCCACTCCCTCAGTCTTCTGGACCAACGCTCAATGCTGTCTTTCATTCTTCTACTGGGCTCTAACTGTCCCTCACTGTACCCTCTGAGTTTAGCCCCGCCCCTGGGGCATTGGGAGACCCAAGGACTGTCCATGTCTCCCTGGGAGTTTCTCTACCCAGAGAGACGGCACTGGTTCATTAGTTCTTGGGTGTGAGCATGTCTTGAGTTGAACTTTGAATAGGAATCGGGAAGTTTAAAACACAAGAAAATAAAGGAATTGGGAGGTTTGCTAGAAATCCCAAGGCAGAAACATGTATGCCGCCCCTCCTCATCCTGGGGGTTAAATCTAGAGCATGTGCGGTGAGCAACCTCCCTGGATCTTTCTAATTTCTTCTTTTCGGATAGGGTCTCACTGAGTTGTCCAGGTGGTACTTGAATTTGTAATCCTCCTGCCTCAGCCTCCCAGAGTGCTGGGATTACAGGCATGTGCCCCACCACACCTGGCTTGAAATCCACATACTTGTAATTACAAGCAAGGAGGATTTATCCCTAGAAGCTGTGTGGCTCCACATGGGGCCTGGGAATCCGAGCAGAAGTGCAAGGCGAATTCTGCCGACCTTTTCTGTGTCTTGAATCTGCCTTTCCCCGAGCCCAACCCGGGCTCTTTGCTTGTCTGATCATTCAGTCCTCTTTGCTAAGCCGTTGAAGCTGGTGTTCCTGGGTGTACAAGAGGGTCCCCTCGGATACAGTTGTCAGTTCAAACGTACCATCTCCCTGGAAGGCGGCTCTGTGAACCAGCTCACGGTGGACATGGTGATCAGGGTGGTTGCCGACAGAATCATGGAGAAGTAGAGGTAATGGATGTACTTCACCACAGCGGGGCGCTCATCTGGCTGGTCACACGGAGGCTGAACATAGATGAAGTCCAGGACCAGTCTGATCAAGCCTAGGAGCAGGCCCAAGATCAGGCCTGAGAAGGCACCCTGAAAATCAGAGCAAAACCACCTCAGAGACACCAAGGACTGGGGCCTCCAGGTACTCACCGCAAGAGCCTGGCTCTTACAACCATCACCGCCTGCAGCTGTGACTTGGAAAGCCCTGGAGCTGTTCAGCTGTCTCTCTTCCACAAGGCTTGCTGTCACAGGGATTCGTCCCAGGACCCCCGATGGGTACCAGAGTCCACCCAGGCTCAAGTCCCGTGTATAAAATGGTGCGGCTCTCGGGTGTACTTTAAATCACCGCTAGGTTACTTATAATACCTAAGACAATGTAAATGCTGTGTGAATAGTTTTATAATCTGGTTCAGGGAATAAGAGTCTGTACATGTTCAGTACATAGGCAATTTAAAAAAATCTTCAACCTGCTGGAAGTTTGCAGATGTGGAGCCATAGCCATGGAGGGCCAGTGGGAATGCGTCACACAATTCTCACGTAACTTAATCCCTTCTATTAAACAGCTTCCCTGTTTAATAGAATGTGTTGAGATTCTTCTGAGACCCCCACTGCACTGCTTATAGCCTCCCCTTGTCCCCAACAGCACCAAGCCCTGCCCACCGTCGGTCCCCCACTGCCACCGTCCTCCCCCATTGCACACGGCAGCGCTTGGTTCTTGCACGGTGCGGGCCGAGCCCCAGCTACCTTCTCGTTAGCCCGCTTCCAGAAGCAACCCATGATGAAGACTACAGCTACGGGTGGCTGCAGGTAGGAGCTGATGGACTGGATGTAGATGAAAAGTTGGCCTCCCTGGCTGGCCTGGACCACAGGGATCCAGAGGATGGAGACCAACACCAGCAGAATCACAAATATCCTGTGCCAGACGGAGGGGCTCCGGATTAGTGCTATCTTTCGTGAGGTATCAGTTACACCCCCTGTAATAACTTTTATTGAATTTATAGAGTTGCCCACTCACTACTACAATCAGAATGTATGGGCCTACAGGTGCCCCACACGTGCCAAAACCAGAACAAACTGGACCTTTATTTTGTTACTGCAAGTGTGGGTCAGATCGCCCCTCAGCTCTGCATTAGGGGAATGTTGGCCATTTGAGAAGGATCTGTCTGGGAGCCGGCTGGACAGGGTTGATCAGCCCTGAATTTACATGCTTTCCTTCCCTCTTCTGGGCCGAGGACACCAAGATCTACATGGGTAGTCACTCGGAAGTGTCCGGCCCTTGTTCCTAAACCTGTGATCACAATTCCAGGAATGCGGCACCCCATGTGACTGAGTCCACAGGGACGGTCCTTTCCCGGGAACAAAGCCGTCCCCCAGCTGTACAGACTCTAGCTCTATGACACCAGGACTGAGAGAATGATCAACCAAGACCCAGGCAAGTAAAGACTGGCCGCTACTGTCGGAAGTGAATCCCTGTATGAGACTGTGCCCTCTCCAGCTACCTGGGCTGAAGGCTTTCCGTATCTTCCCTCTAACTTTCCAATTAAAGCTTTTCTGTCAAAAATGTGGAACATCCATCACACCAAGAAGTTCCCTCAAACTCGTTTGTAGTTTACTGCTTCTCCGACCCTACGCTACCACTTTGCCTGCTTCCTATAGTCTTGCCTGCCTTTGGCATTTCCTCTAAACTGTATCCTGTGACAGGTGGGTCTTTTGTAGCTGGCTTTGTTGTTTTGAGGTTCATCCATGCCACAACATGTATCTTTTTTTTTTTTTTTTGGTATCGGGAATTGAACTCGGGACCTTGTGCTCGCCAGGCAGGCACTTGTGCTGCTGAGCTACATTCTTCCCGGTCAAGCATGTATCATTATTTCATTCCGTTTTATGGTTGAAAAGTACACCGTTGTCATGGATATGCCATTGCATGCCGCTGTTTCTCCAGTTGCTGGACATTTGCATTGGAACTTTTTTGTGTGGCTAAAATGGATAGTGCTTCTATGAACATGTGTTATACAGATCTCTATGTTGACATGTAGTTTCATTTTCTGGAATGCTAACTGTTGAGTTACAGGGGGAATGTGTGTTTAACATTTGAAGAAACTGCCAAACTGTTTTTGAGTAGTTGGATCATTTTATATTTCCACCCATAATGAGTTTGTTTTGCTGCTGTTATGGTTTGTGCCTGGGTATCCCCCTCAAAGCCTCACGTGGTCATGGGGCGGGCTTTTAGAGTTTGATTATGGGTATGAGAGCTACACCCGCCCTGGGGAGGATAGTTTGCATATGTAAGGGAGAGGAAGAGGCTGCTTGCCTCCATTCCTCCCTTTTGCTCTTGTTGCTTTGCCATGTTCTGCTGCCATGAATGTGTTTGCCCTCTGCCGTGTGCCACTCTGCCTTGGAGCCAGCCAAGTACGGACTGAAACCACCACAAACTGTGAGCTAAATAAACCTTTCCTTCCTTCATTTTGAGTGTTGGGTATTTTGTCTCGGCAAATGAGAGAAAAGTAACAAAGACCGCAACCGTGTCTTGTTACAGCCATTCTAGTGGGTGTGTAGTACATTATAGTTTCAATTTTTTTTTTTTTTTTTGTACCGGGAGTTAAACTTGGGATCTTGCGCTTGCCAAGCAGGTGCCTGTGCCACTGAGCTATATCCCCAGCCCTAATTTGCACTTCTCACATGATGAAGGATGACCATTTTTCCATGGCCTTATATTAGCTATTTACTTATATATCTTCCCTAGTGACATGTCTGTCCAAATCTTTCAGCTGTTGGCCTTAGGTTTTATCACTTCCTCCTATAATCTAGGTGACAAATCCTATATCATAATGTTTTCTCTCCATCTGTGGTTTGATTTTATTAATGGTATCTTTCAAAGTGGAAATATTTTAAATTTCTATCAAGTCCCGTGTAACACTTTTTTTATGGATTATTCTCTGGGTGTTGTCTCTCAAAAACTTGCTAACCCAGGGCTGAGACGCCTCGGGGTGCATCTCCGGGGATGACCGAGCCCCAGGAACTTACCTGCGTGTATTTTACATAAAGTACTAGGGGTTGAAAGCAGGGTCTCTGTACTGGGCTTACATACTCGGCCCTTTTTGTTTTTTAATTCTGAGACAGGGTCTTGCTAAGTCGATGAGCTGACTGGGTTCCAGCTCGCAGTTCTCCCACTCGGTCTCCCGGAGTGCAGGATCACAGGTGTGCGCCCCCATGCCTGGCTCACACGCGCTAACTGCGGCTTCTCCCGGTAGATTGCAGAGCTTTCAGGAGCCTTGGATTAGAAACCTTTCTCTCGCCTACAAAACACGCTTTTCCCTGTAGCTGGTCACTCCCCCAGACCCTCAGGGCCCCGTCCGGGTTGGGTCACTCCCTGTGAATCGCTAGGTCTCCCGACCCCCCATGGAACCCTCATTAGGGCGGTGCTTGCCAGCCGTCTGTCCTCCTCCAGCTCCAAGGTGGCAAGAGCGGCATCTTTCGCCGTTCTGTGCTGCTACTTGGTACACAGTCTTTTGAATAACCGGTGCTCTGGAGTGCTAATGCCCTCCTCTGCCATCTGAGGAGGCTGAGGCAAGCTGGATCAGTTGCTGGTTGGACTTTGCCGATGGCATGGGGGGGCGTGGCTTGCTCCTCCTTGAGTACCTGGTGTTTCGCTCACCTGCCCGTGCGCACCCCGCCCTAAGGCTTTACCTGCCCACCACCATGAGCTCCCTCTCGGACGCCCGTGGCCGGATGTGGTTCCAGAGGTCCATGGTGAAGATGGTGCTGGCACTGTTAAAGATGGAGGTGAGGGAGGACATGAGGGCCGCCACCATCACAGCCGTCATCAGCCCACGGAGTCCTGGAGGCAGAGGGGAGGGCCGTGGGCCTCGGGGTTCTGCCAGCAGCTTCTGCCCTTCCTCCTGACCCGGCGGCCCCAGGCCCCAGGCCCCAGAAGGCTCGGCTCTGAGGAGGGAGAGCCCCTGGACGGACACAGCTTTGGCTTTTGGGGAGACCCTGGACCTGGGGCTCAGGCTGGGAGGCTGCAGTCTGCTCCCACCCCCAGCCCTCCCGTCTTGTCTCCATCAGGTCGGAGCCCAGCCGATGCCCCCCTTCTGCGCCTCCGGGGGCCTGAGGGACGGGCGAGGGCCGTTACCTGTGGGCAGGAGCTCCAGCACGAGTTTGGGGTACGCGATGTCGGAGCAGCCGGAGGGGTTGCTGCAGACCTTCTGGCAGATTTCCGGATGAGCACACGCCACTTGGTCTGTGGAGGGAACACAGGCCGAGTGGAGCAGACGGCCTGGGAGCCCGGGCCTGACCGCAGCGTGGCCCGACGCGGCCAGCCCCGGGGAGGTGGGTTTACTGTCTGTGCTTAGAGCGCAGTGACCTCGAAAGGAGCCTAGGCCTTATAAGCCGTGACCTTGTTACTTGACCTTTCCTCAGCGGCCCGATCTGTAAAACTGGGCAAATAACACAAGGCTGGACTGGCAACGGGCACAACTGGCTGAGAAGGTCCTTGTAAAGCTCTTAGCTCCGAATCTCATACACATGAGTGCTGAGAAGATTGCAGCTATTGTGAACGTGACCCAAGTAAAGCGGAGACACCAGTGACCCTCACCACAGCACCTGTGTCCTCTTCCACTCCAAAGGTGGGGGGGGGGGGACAAAAGCAGTTCCTCCCTGGACCAAAGGTCCTCACTGCTTGACACGTGGGGTTTTTTCTCCAGTACTGAAGATCAAACCCAGGGCCTTCTCATCATCCTCAGCCTTTTTTTTTTTTTTTTAATTTTCAGACATGTTCTCACAAAGTTAATTTGCCAAAGTTGGGCTTGAATTTGTGATCTTCCAGCCTCAGCCTCTCAGGCTGCTGGAATTATCACTACCATGCCAGAACCAAATGCACTTTTGTCCTTACCGTATTAGGGATTGAACCCCAGAGCCTAATTCCCAGCTCACCCTCCACACTCCTTCCCACTTTTTTTCTGAGACACAGGGTCTTGCTCTGCAGTTCAGGCTGGCCTTGAACTCTCAACGATTCTCCTGCCTCAGCCTCCCAATGCCCCCTTTAAATTCTTTTCCCTGTCTTCTCAATAGTTCATAAAATTCAATAGTTGCTCCTCATTTTAGACTCGGTGACTACCCGCTAGCTCTGAATTTCCCTCTCCTTTCTTTGGTCTCCTGAGCCACTCTCTGAGTCTCCAGTGTAAATCCACCCAGCTGCCCTGGCATCTCTGGTGGGGCATCACTGTTATCATGCACATTTCCGTTGTGGGTTGGATGCGGTTTGTGTTTTCCCTAAGGGTTTCTGTGTCAGGATCTGGGAACGAAAAGTGCATGAAAAGTTATACCCCCCCCCAAAAAAAAACCCTCTCGTTCTGTTTTAGACAAAATTAAGAAGGGAGACTAAAGATATTTCTTGAGAAGTATTAGGGAGAAACAACCTTACTCAGGATAATAATACCTGAGAGGTCTAGGTTCTCGGCTTTTTATTATTCTTCTGGGGAAGCTCATTAAAAACATCTACGTCCCCGCCACCAGGACGCTGTCAGGAGCCTCCCAGCTGGGCCCCGGGCCTTGTTTAAGTTCAGATCTGTGCATTTCTGTCTCTGATGGTTCTCTACAAGCTCTTTCTCTTCTAGGTGCCCCAAGAAGGAGCCAAGGATCTCCCCAAGATATTTGTTAACTACAGGAGCTTTTATTTTTCCTACTGGGAATGCAACCTTCCAGCGTGGGACACATGACAGATACAAGGCTTATAAAGCACACGGTGGCAGAAAGGCCCTGGATCATTTATCTAAGATATGCTCATTGTGGGAAGTTAGCAGGTTCAGCTAAGTCGTAAATGACAGCAGCAGCCTTGCGGTCAGTGACACCCGCTTACCTGTTAAGCAACCATCTCCTATACACCGTGAGTTTCCTTAGAAAGCTTCCGACCCCCCCCGATGCCTCAAGAATAAATCGAATCCGAACACAACACAAAGCTTCCTTCTACACTTTGGGCATTCACTGAAGTTTCACTACGACCGAGACACTGCATATACCTCATTTCATTTTCACAGTTCTGTAGGGGAAGATATTGTACTTATTTATTTTTGAGACACAGTCTTGTTATATATAATCCAGACTGGCTTTCAACTCACTCTGGAGCTCAGGCTGGCCTCAAACTCGGGCAATCCACCTGCCTCAGCCTCCTGAGTGCTGGGATTAGAGCTGTGTGTCCCACCACACTCTGCTGTCCTATCTTAAAGAGATGGAAACAGGCCCAGAGCGAAGTCGTTTGCCCAGATCATACAGATGGTTTCTATGTACTTGCTTCCAGAGCTGGGGTTGAGAGGACTGGTTTTGTAAAGAGGTCATTTTCCAAATTCTGTGTGTGTTGTGAGTTCTATTGTTTCCTTTTAAATTTCTATAGTAACTTTAAAAAAAGTGCCATTGGAATTGGGTTTTGTCTAGGCCCATACAAGCCCAGCCTCAGAGCGTCCCTTTTAGGCAGCTCTGCACCCACCCGAGATTGGGGGGGGGGCACTCGGGGATTTGAGGAACAGGGAGCAGAGCAGGGAGGATAGAATGACTCGAACACAGCCTCCTGTGGTAGGCCAGGGATGCCTGATCTTTCGGTGGTCTTGTTAAAAATACATAGCCGGGCTTCACCCCCAGCCCTTGTGATTCAGTAGTTCGGGGACAGGCCTCAAAGTCTGCATCTTTAACAAGTTCTGGGGAGAGACTGCTAGATCGGGGACTACTGCACTTCACAAAGTACTGGCCTAAGCCCCAAAGAGGGGGAGAGATTTCAGATACAAACGCCTGCCTTGCGCTCCCTACCTTACCTCGTTCTCTAAAAGTCCTCTGAACTTATTCCTGGAGCCACGTGATAGAGCATTTTGAGAAAGGGGGTCTCTGTGTAGTTCAGGCTGGCCTCCAACTAACAGTGATCCTCCTGCCTCAGCTTTCCTGAGTGCTGGGATTACAGGCGTGCGCCACCACGCCCGGCATAGTGTTTTAATGTGTAGCTTATCTTTTTCTTATGCGTACCGGACCCACTAGTATAAAGTCCTCACATTATAAAGTCCTTCGGTTCACAGAGCACAGAGTTGTATCTTCTTTAACAATGACTATTGACTTGGCTGGTTTTTAAGAGGTGGCCAGGGTAGCGTTACTGATCTTACAGATCTCAACCCAAGGCTTGGGATGCAATTTGCGTGTCTAAGCGCCAGCTTCTGGGGGCAGGGTACACCTGGGTTCAAGTCCCGGCTTCCCCAGCATTAGTCCCGAATCCGCCAGTGTGTGATCCCAGACTCCTCACACCCAACCCGTCACCAAACCAGCGGGCTCCACCCTGAAATACATTTTGAGCCATCCGCCTGGATCAGCTGCTGCTGCCTCAGTGAATTTCCCTGCAAACCCTGTCAACAGTAGCTCTGTCTCGCATTCCTCTGATCCCTCCTGCGCACTTCCTCCTCCTCACAGCCCTAGCACAACTAATACTTTTGTCAGTCATTTGTGTATTTGTTTCCTCTGCCTCGGCAGTGTAAGTCCCGCTGGAGCAGGCTGTGAGTCCTGTTCAGCCATGGCGCGTCCGGGTCTGTTGGAATAAGACCTGACACTTTCCTCTCAAAATATCTGAGATACTTGGAAGGAAGAAATGAATGTGAGTGAATAACTATCTTGACCTTCAATTTCTTCATTTTTAACATAGAAATAACACTGTGTATTACCTCGGTCACCTTGAGGATGAGATGAGGGAGGGAACACAGTCCCTGGGTGTCCATGGGGGGCTGTTCCAGGACCCCCCCCAGACGCCAAAATCTGCAGAGCCTTAGTCCCTTGTATAAAATGTCCTAGCGTTATGCATATACCCCACGCACACGCTGCGGTATGCTTTAAATAAGATCCAAGTTACAATGACAACACATGTAATGCTGTGTAAATAGTTGAATTGTGTTGTTGGGACTAATGCTAAAGAAAAAGCCTGTATGTTTAGGACAGATGCAATTTTTTCACACTTTTTTTTTTTTTTTTTTAAATCTTTTGGAGGCAGGGTCTCACTGTGCAATTCAGGCTGGCCTTGAGCTCACTTTGTAGCTCAGGCTGGTCTCGAACTCGCAACGATCCTCCTGCCTCAGCCTCCCGAGGGCTGGGATTACAGCGTGCACCACCATGCCCAGCTCCCACATGTTTTCAATCTGCAGTTGGTTGAATCTGTGGGTCCAGATCAGTCCACCCTCTATTACCATTAAGATGCTCTATCCGGGTTACTCGTGAAGAGACTTATTTGCCTCTCGCACAAGGCAGCGGCCTCGTTAGTCTGGCCTCTGGTGAGAGCAGCAGATCAGAGTGTGGGTTGGAGCAGGTGCTCAGATCTGAACCAGGAAACGGGGACACAGGTGGGTGTTGGGGAGGGGTCAGAGCCCCACCAGGATGCTCTCCTGATGACCTGGGGATCCCCGCCCGGGACCCAGCCCCTCCGGGCTCATGGCATCTCCAGTACCGCCACCTGGAGCTGCGCCTCCGGAAGGACCTCTGGGGACTCTCACCCAAGCTATAGCACAGGCTGCTTGCCCTGTGTCGGGAGCTGCTGGACGCCTGATGAAGTGTTTTAAAATCTTATTTTACAAGTGAGGAAATGGAGACAGATTACAAAGGTACACAGCTCCTGAGCTAAGACCTGGGCCCAACCCGAGTTCAGTGCTGACTTCCCTTCCCCAACTCACCTTGCAGTTCTTTTCGTTTGTAAAGTTTTTTGATACAGGGCCTCACTGTGTTAGCCCAGGCTGGCCTCAAACTCGCAATGATCCTCCTGCCTCAGCCTCCTGGGTGTGATTACAGGCACGCAGTGGGATTGCATGCACGCACCACCATGCCTGCTGTACCTCCTAATTTTTAAGGGTTCTAAATTACTTTGATTTAAGTAGGTTAACTAATAGAGCAATTCACACTACCCGTTTTAAAGTTCTGTGTAAGACTGTGTAGGATGAGGCATAGGGGAGCAAACTGCTTTCCAGTCCCCTTTGATGGCCGTGGGGCCATGGGGATGGGGTGGGCCGCTCACTGAAGAAAGAAGGAAGCTCTCCTACGCAGATCACCAGGCCCAGACGCCACATGACTCAGCGTTGTTTATCTCCATGGTACAAAACATACTCCTTTGCCACAGCGAGAAAAACACTGGAGCATCTATTCTAGAGGCTCTGACACCCTCTGATATTTAAGAAAAGTACCCAAAAAGGGGGAGGGATCCCCTTGGACCAAAGTTGCCAAACCACTGATCTCAAACACTAAAGCATGGGATTTTAAAGAAAATGGCATGTGAAAAACCGCACAACTTGAGTCTGTTTTGTGGTATGAGAAAGTGTAGAGTTGAGGAAGATCCCCGGTGAACTTCCGCACAGTGTGACCCGAGACCCCTAGCGCTGGCTCACTGGGCCAGCGCCGGGAAACTAAGTCGGGAGAGGGAGAATCCATCTGTTCCCCGGGCCGGGGCGCCGCGCCTCTGTCTGGGAGCGGCCAGTGACACGCTTGGGGTACTTCCCAGGGGCGGTGACTTGCAGACGGAGGACTCTCCTCACCTGGAAAGAGGACGCGGCTGACCATCCCGGGGAACACCATCAGGAAAAGGGGCAGAACCTTGAGGTAGGCAGCCATCAGGGATCCTCCTTTGGCGTGGGACAGGTTCTTGGCAGCCAGACTGCGCTGAACGATCACCTGGAACACAGGGGGCGGTTGGAAGCTGAGGAGGAGGAGGACCACCTCGGGAGGAGGACTAGCTGTGCGGGTGTCTTGGGAGTGCGGTAGATTAAGCGCTGTTGTTCGCCTGGCTTTGCTTCTTCGCTTCTCTGGTCTAAGTTGGGTGACTGTGATTCCCATCTGTTCCTTTCCCACACCTTTGTCCGGGCCATTTACAGTTCATAGAATAGGTCCTCCTCCACCACCATCATCACCAGCTAAGGGAAGGGTGTACCCATGATACTCCACTAAAGCTCTTCTTGGAAACTGTCCCTAATAAAAGCAAAGGAAAGAGGCACCCCTACCCCCTTATGGCCTCCAGGAGAATTGGGAACCATGGGGGTTGTGTGAAGCTGTTGGCTGCATCTCTGCCATCATACTAGGAAACCTCTTGGACACTGAAGTCCTCTCAGAGGAAACAAAAGCAGGAGATGAAGAAAGAGAAGTCCTTTCCAGTGGGCCCTTCCGCCGAGCCTTGCCAGGTCCAGTTTATGGTGTGAACTCTGCAGTTGGATACAGCCTCCAAAAATGGGGTTTGAATCCTGCCTCCCCACTTCCTGACTGTGGCTTTGAGCAGACAGCTTTGCGCCTCTTTGCCTCAGTGTAATCTGCCAAGAGGATAAAGTCAAGGCAGTTTTGATGGTCAAATGAAGTAAAGTCATTTAGAATACTTAACTAGCGTCTGGCACGTAGTAACTGCCCCATACATAATAGTAACCGCTATCCACCTCTAGCCTCCAGACATGTAAGCTCTCAGAAATCTTTGTTTAAACTATTATTCCTATTTCAAATAATGAGAGTTTGCACCAAGTCATCGAATAACCCTTACTAGGAAGCATTCCAGAGGCAGGATCTGTCCCCAACCCCACAGTTCACATGTGTACCGGTGTTTGGAGGTGCAGTGGGTGAGGAATGTATCATCCACGGAATCTGGGACCCAACCTGTCGGACAGCTGTCGGGCACCAAGATGGTCAGAGACTGTAAAACGTGACTTGCTAATGGTCCAACTGCAGTCACAGTGACACAAATCGAGCCAGGCGAGCAAGTGCCAAGGGGCAGTGCCTGCATAACCCATTCAGCCAATCTGAACTTAGAGAAAGCCTGGTCACAGCTGGCCACCCAGCTGAGTCACTGTCACACACGAAAAGGATTGCTAGCCAAGTGGTTGTTGATAAATAACGTCTGTTGAAAAACAAAAGGTAAACTCACACAGCACAGATCAGGGACCTCAGATGTCACACGCACGCGGATATCACACGCAGATGTCACGTGTACAGCGCACTCGTACATTTCCATCTCCTCCTGAGACATGCTTAATAAAGCACTGGATAGAGAATAGTGTGTTCCCTTCTGGGTATTTTCCCAGAAGAACTGAAAACATCATATAACAGTGATATATGTTCACCCATGTAAATAGCAGCACATTTGTCCATCCACTGAGGGTTGGATAAAAAAGATGTATTTTTAGATAATGGAATATTACTCAGCTTAAAGGAAAGATAAACTAGAGGCTTTTATAGGTAAATGCTCACAACTAGAGACCATACTCATAAGTGACATAAACCAGACCCGCATGTGTAAGCACTGCATTGTCTCACTAGTGTAAGAACGTGAAAGAGTGAATAAAAGTAGGAGGTATGATAGACACTGTGAAACAAAAGGAAACTGCTCAAAAGTTAAGGAGCAACTGGGATGAGGGAACAGAGAAAAGGAAAAATTGCTTTATTGAAAGGAACAGTTAATGCTTAATTACTTGCTCAATCTTACATGTCTATATTTTCCTGAGTAACCAATTTGAAGAAGTCAATGTGATACAATAACCACTGTTAATTTCCTATCACCTTGTCTGAATTTCAGCATTGCTTGTATTCTTGTGTTATTCTTTTTTAGAATAAATGTGAACTAAGGAATAAAAATGTAATTCAAATATGTGGAAGGAGGGGGCTTTAAGGAGCTATGTCTTTTTTTTTTTTTTTTTTTTTTTTTTTTTTAGTGTTTACTTTTATCTTAATTTTAGTGAGATTATAGGGTCTCATTAGGTGGTAGCCCAGGCTGGACTCAAACTTCTAATCCCTACCTACCTCAGCCTCCTAAATGCTGGGATTCCAGCTGCATGACAGCGGGCCCAGTCTAGGGAACTGTATCTCCACCTGTCATCCACCCACCTTATCTTCATGTGTGCTTCCCACAATAACTGCACAAACTTCCCCATGATAGGGATGGGAAAGAGGGAGGAGACCTCCTGGTGAGGGCTTCTCGGAATCGGGACAGCGCTGCTCTGAGCAGCGGTGAGTGAATGGGATAGCCGAAGTGCAAGGCTCCGGGTTGTCTGTAATGCGGTTAACAACGGCGTTTGTGTTTTGAGGAATCCCAAAGGCTTCAGGAAGAGTGGTAGTGATTGTCATCACTGTCACTTGGCGGAAGAGATTAGGGAGAGAAGTTCAGATAGGTCAGCAAGTAGAAGAGAGCTGGGCTCTGACCCTGGAAGCCACAGCGGGTCTGTAGGCGAGCTGTTCAGAAGCACAAAAGCACCGGGCCAGTCCAGAGAGCAGGAAGGCGAATGTAACTGTCCGTGACCGGCTCCCAGCAACGGCTCTTTACTGGGGGCAGAAGGGACCAGCGTCGGAAAAGCACCCAGGCTGAGAGAGCGAAGAGGAGAGGAGGAGGATAGACTAGCAGTGCAGCTTGGCTGAGCATGGCGAGTTAGGACAGAGAAGGGTCTGCGCTATCGCTACCGTCTGCACAGGAGAGTCGGAGCTTACAGCGTTTGCACGAGCCGTGCCTGGGCTTACCCTGACCTCTCCAAGGCCTTTCTGTTGAGTAGGGTGAGCTTAGGTCGCGCTAAGGTTCGTCCACTCACGGGGACGACATGCTGGTATGTGCTGAGCCGGGACCTGGTTCCCCCCAAGAACCCCCTGCTTTAGCTTCACTCGGGAGGAACCTTCTCGAGCTCCGAACTTCACTGATCTCTTAGGCTGTGCGTCTTGATGTGTCGGGGGGCTCCAGGGGCCTTGGCGACTTTCCCGGCGCCTGTACGAGGTGGCTCCAGTGAGCTGCTGAGGACTCAGAGGAACACGTCACACTGTGGCCATCGTGATGTCGGGGCCAGCGGGGCCCAAACGGGGTTCTTCCCAGTCTAATCTTTTTTGGTTTTTACAACAGTAGGGTCAGCTTTGGGGAGCATTCTGCCTCTTCTTTTGCAATCCTCATCCACATGGCTACACTAGCAGCATGGGCGTGGTTGCGTGACCTATAGGAAGGCCTTAGAGATCCTACAGACAAACCCTAGTTTGCCAAGTCGGACAATATCCCCAGGACTTTTAGATTTGGAACTCGGTTGTTAGCGGGTGTTCTAGTTGGTCTGCAGCGAGAGGTAAGAGCAAGTCGGAAGGGAGGAAGATGGGAAGGAGAACCAGACTAAGACTCCGGGGGCTCTGAAAGCTCCAGCTTCCTGTCCTTTGTTTGCAAAAACTCCTCCGTCCCCACCCCTTTCCTCGGCTAGCTGATTTCTCTGTCACCTGGAGCCTGCTATACTCTTACGCACACAGATGATGTTCATTTGGATGTTGGGAGTGAAAGACGCGGACATGTGGAATCACCTTATTTTGACCAAAGGTGGGGGGAGCACAAAGATTCCATTCTTTATTTTTTATCTGGCAGCTGGGTATGATGGCACATGCCTATTGTCCAGACTATTCCAGAGGCTGAGGCAGGAAGATTCCTTTGAGCCCAAGAGTTCAAGAAGAACCTGGGTAACATAGAAAGATCTATCTTTTTTTGAAAAAATATATTATGTACAACATGTCAATATGTATGCATCGTGGAATGGCTAAACAGATAACGTATGGATTACTCCACATGCTTTATTTCTTTCCTTTTTTGGTAGTGAGAACACTAAAACTTTTTTAAGGATCTTTTCTTCACTGTTGCTAACTAGAGCTGCCATGCTGGACAACAGATCTCTCAGCCTCGTCCCCTGTCTAATTGAGATGCTGTATCCTGTAACAACATTTCTCCAATCTCCCAACCTCCGGCCCCTTGAATTCTGCTTCTGAGTTCAGCATCTTTAGATTCCACGTATGAATGAGGTCACGTGGGTTTTGTGTCCTTTTGTGCCTGACTTATTCCACTTAACATAATGTCCTCCAGGTTCAACACCATTGTTAGGAAAGACAGGGTCTCACTCCCTTCCTCAGCTGAGTAATTTTCCTTTGCGTATCCGTACCACAGTTCCTTTGTCCACTCATCTGCCGGTGGACCCTTGGTGATTGTGGCTACCGCTTCAACAGCTGCAAAATAGCGCTGCAATGTGGCTGCACGTAAGTGCAGACGTCTCTGTCTTGCTGACTTAAATGCCCTTAGACATATATCCAGTGGTGGGATTGTTGCTTCACTGAGGCACCAAAAGGAGACAGGGAAGAATCTTGTAGCTTCGTGAAACAAAGCCCCCTCTCCTACAGACCTGAAGCTGTGGTTTAGAAGAACTCTGGCTTCTGTCTCCATGAATGTGTCTTCAGTATGACTTTAAGAGGTAGCTGAACAATGTCCAGACTAAGTTGCACAGCTGGAAAGCCCACAAGCCCCGCGGGGGTGGGTGTCGCCCTCCACAACAGCCCCCAGCCCAGCAAAGGAACGCAGCTCGCAAGGAGTGCGAGCAGGGTGAGCCGAGGGTGAAAGGCTCGGATCAGTGGCTGGCGAATCATACAGCACCTGCGCGTGGTTACGAGACGTCACTCTTATCAGTCACCGTTGGCCTTGTGCACCTCTGCCTGGCACGACTGAAACATGTTCTTGAACCACGGTTTGCTTTTCTTGGGTTCTACGGGAGCCCGATGGAGGGCGGCCAGTGCCGTGCTGTTTCCTGGGCAGCACCGTGAACCGGCCCGTCCTTTGGACTCTGTGGAATCTGGCTCAGCAGAAACCCCCTATGGGCGACCAAAGTCAAAGGGTCAGAGGGGGTTGGCTTCTGCCCCTTTGGCCTCGACTGGCACTTGGAAGAGCAAATCCTCTGGGACTACATCCTTAGGCTCTTGTGCACATGGAGTGGCTTGGAGGTGGTCTCGGGCTGCGTGCTGGAGGAAGGCTTTGCCTCAAGTCATTATGGACCTCTACAAGCTGGGAGCTGTGTCGGGAACAGTAACATAAGCCCCAGCAAGGAAGTAAGTGCTTGTAATGGTTTGTGTATTAAATGTTTTTGCAGCAAAAAGCTATGACCAAATTGCTCCTGCATCCCTATTTTGTAACTGTTAGCAGCCCCATTTGACAGATGAGGAAACTGAGGCTCAGAGATATTAAACAGTGTCCCAAAGTTACAATGCTTGAGCTCAGTTCCAGGCCTGTTAAATTTAAAACCCACAGAGATAGCCTGGATCTGTGGTGCCTCTCATGGTCTCTCCGACCTGAGATTTGCTAAGTGTGAGAAGTAAGTCTGTCCTACAGCGGCGGTTCATGTGTGCCACACCAGTTACCGTCTTACGTCCCCTGCTGGTCAGTCAGAGGAGCCCTGGTCCAGGGGTGTGGACCTGGGTTTTCTTATCTGTGATGTCTCCTGCATCCGCTCAGCTGTCCAACCCCGTGATCACTGTTTTAATGAAACTCCCATCAGCCCTGACCTTGCAGTGCAGCTCTCCCGATGCTACTCAGATCTCTGGCTGTGTCAGTGTATCAGGCACGCCCACGCAGAACTGCTCCCTGCACGCAAGCAAACATTGATCCCGCCCCACGCCCGCCCGCAGCCTGAGCACTGCGCTGCTCTGGACCGTTCTTTTTCCTTTTCACACACTACTGTACGCCTTAAGGTCTTCTCTCTGCCTGCTCCTCATGCCACAAACTTTCTTCCTCCCACAATCACAGGGAGCACGCATTGTCCTCTATCCAACGAAGGCAGTAGTAGAATGCCCACAAAAACTAAAAATAGAACTACCATACGACTCAACCATCTACCGCTGGGTGTGGCTGCAGGGGACATGAGCTGTGTGTTGAAAACACACTTCCACTGCCATGTGTGCTGCAGTGCTGTTCCGAGCAACCAAGATATGGAACCCGTCTGTGTCCATCGGATGTGGGTGCACAGTGAGTGGGATACTGCTCAGCAACAGGGAGGGCAGAATCTTGTCACTTGCAGCAAGAACGGAGAGAGCAGGAAAGCAATGTTAAGTGAACCGGCACAGAAAGAAAAGTACCACGTGGTATCCCTCATACGTGGAATCTAAGGGCCTGAGCCCACAGCAGGAGAGTTAAGGCACTGGTTACCAGAAGCTTGCATGGGTAAGGGGGGCAGGGAGGGCAGGTGGAGACTGGTTAATGGGGCAAGGCCACAGATGATAGATGAAACAAATTCCATTAAACAGAAGGGTGCGGAGCTGGGCGTGGTGGCGCACACCTGTAATCCCAGCACTCGGGAGGCTGAGGCAGGAGGATCGTTGTGAGTTCAAGGCCAGCCTGGGCTACATAGCGAGACCCTGTCTCAAAAAAACTGGGTGCTAGTACACCGATGAGTAATTATACATAACAAAATTGTATCATATAAATAGCAATCACTAGAAGAAAGGACTTTGAATGTTCTCATAACAAAGAAACAAGTGTCTAAGATGATAGGTGATCATTGCAGTGTACAAATGTGCTGACACATCACTCCACAGATGTGCAATTATCCTCAGCGTACGCTTACACTGTTTAAAACCTAACAAGTCCCCCAAATGTCTCTGCCCCCAGGTCTCGATCACCCCTCTCCTCCTCATCCGATTCTAAGTTGGGCCCCCACACTCAGTGCCGGTCACTTCCCTCGACCTCTGAAACACTGGCACCGTTCAGCATCTCGCGGGATAAGCTTAACTATGGTCTGTCAGCCCGGGCGGGCGCAGCGCAGCGCTGTGCAGGCGGAGCGTTTTGTCGGCCTTGTCTTGTCTGCTCCACGTTTGAGCGCCCAGCGCTGCTCCTGGCGGGCAGAAGACGCCTGCTGAGGGCTTGTTGAGCAAATGATGCCTCCGGGGTGAGTCTCGGCCACCCTGTGAACTGATCATCTCCCTTCTGCATCATCCCTTCCCAGATATCAAACGCGAGGTAATGTACTACGTCTCCCCTCACAAAGGTCAGCAGCTCTGATTCGCCATTTGCATCAGCAGGAGCAAGAAGCACAGCAGCATAGAGAAAAAGTCGGGGAGGTGAGGAAAACACAGAACGAGAAGAGGAGGGGAAGAAACTGTCCGCCACCGCGGGCAAAAGGCTTCGGGAAGTGCTGGCTCGGCGGCTGCCCCGTACCTGATCCGTGCACCAGTACCACAGAGATGGGATGGACATTCCAAACAGAATGCCCGGCCACGGGAGGTCGGACGTCACGGGATCGCGGAAGATGTGGAAGGCGTCCTCCCGGGGCAGCCCGCAGCTGCCGCTCTCGCTCCGGTTGCTCGCCAGGGCCGAGAAGTACTTCTCCTTCAGGCCTTCCATCCCCCCAACCGCAGCAAAACCTGGAAGGCACAGAAAGCCTAGGTTTTCCAGGAATCCCGGTGGGTCCGTGGCAAAGGCACGGATAGAGGCACCTTGAGGGTTGTTAACCGCTCTTTTTATGTCCTTGGAAGTTACCACGGACTTTGTTATAGGACAGTGTTTCTAAATGCATAGCACAAACCCAGAGGGATTAGCTGGGCATGATGGCACACGCCTTGTAATCCCAGCACTCTGGGAGGCTGAGGCAGGAGGATTGCAAATTCAAGCCCAAATAGATTGAAGGCAATCATCAAATTATAAAAGTGTGACAATAACTTGCTTCATTGAATTAGTAAAATGTAGCAGCAGTAGGTCTAATTAATGATTTAGTTAAGTAGCTTTGAGGACAAAAATATTTGAAATATATCAACAACAAGTTTAATGTAATATAAAAATACTTGGGATAACTTGGTATTGGAGTCATAAGTATTACTCCTACTGCTGTGGGGTGTAACCTACATTTACAATGGGAAGATTGTTATTTTTAATTATAGATTTATGAACATAGAAGTATATTTTTCACAGTGCCGTGAATGTGGTCCATGGACCCCAGGGTCAGAAACCTTGCCCATAAAAGCATTCTTTTGCCTCTGAACCCCGCACTGGTCTCAGTCCATGGGGTCAGAGTGGGCCACGAGATACGTGGACCTGAGCTGATGCCTGCCGCCTGAGATTCCCTTTCCGTCCTGTGAGGGGAGAACACCACACCGGCCCGCGGCACAAGGATTGAAGGAGACAAAGCACACAAACTACAAGCACAGCTTCTGGCAGAAAAAGAGCCCTACTGTAAAAATTATTCTTTGGTAATAGCGGGGTTGGAGTTATGCGTTTGTCAATAACCGGACCCACCTACACGTTAAAAAACAGTGAATTCTTTCATATACAGGACATGGAAATGGTGACTATGAATTTTTCCTCTGGTTAATACTTTTGGCCTTATGTTATATTTTGCCTGTACCACTTGAAAATTAAAAAGCCAGGGTATCCCACATTCTGTTGAGAAAATAATATATATAGCTAAGCAAAAGCATTAGTAGAACAGTCATATGTCCACCTCACAGATTGGTGATGACACAGAAGCCTTGCACTGAAGGGGAATTTTAAGTCACTGTCTTGTATTTGTCATAACTAATGATTTGCATTCTATCTTACCCTCCTTTGGTTGTGATTCTTTGTATTCCTTTATGAGAGATTTACATTCCATGTCTAAAGGATAAGATTGGTAGGAAGATCTATTTGCTGGGCCTTTATGTTCTTTGTGGTATTTCATATTTTCTTTGAGAAACTTAGCAAATGTACTGAGGCAGGAAATTGGAGCATGGCAAACTGGCTGGGCAAATGGGTGTGACCTGTCAATCATGGCGATCCAGGAGCCTTGAACCCAAGCCCTGCATCTGGAACCAATTGGGAAGTGCTAGCACTCAAGCATGTTTCTGATAGGCTGGGCCAGACCTAAGGTCAGCCTGAGGAATAGGAGATAGAAAAGATGGCTGCCACCGTGCCTTGTTGTTACACGGTGATCTACTCTTGCCCTGAAGAGTGTAATCTTTTCTTATCTTTAGTTGTCCTGCACTGGCTTTTTTCCTTTTCCTACCTCTGATAAACGTGAAACCTTGCTGTCTTTTGTGCTTGTTTTGTCCAGTTCTTTGTTTGGGACAAGAAGAACCCGGAAAGAATCTCCGGGAGTCCCCAGAACCCAAGAAAACTCCATAACTCTACCTCGCTCACAGTTAAATCTTTGTAAGTGAAATATGGGGCTTTAGATCCAGACAACTTTTATTAAATTGTTATACTTTTTAGGTAATATTTGCCTTAACGATCCTCTCAACAAGTTTTGGATCCATAACTATTTTAACTGGATCTTCATTTACTATCATTTTTAAAAAATCACATCCGCTGTCAATTTTGCTTCTATCTTGTCTTCCCTAGTCTTTGCATAGTCCAGAAAGCTTCTGTGCTCTATCTCAGAAATAACTGGCTTAGATGTCTGTTTTGGGGGCTACAATTTTCTCCATAAAATTCTGTAGTTCTTGCTCCATTATCTTTGGTATTTTATTTACAGAAGAAAGGAGTGAGCCAGTTTGTTTTCTGATCTTTTTTAGTTCACCACTTTTTCTGAATTCTTTAGTATCTTTCATTATCACTGTCATCCAAATTTTTTCATAATGCTTCTTTAGTCTTGAATCTTTTGAAACAAACCACTGATGTCTAAATGCGGGCTGTCACTGAGGGTAGGACAGAAGACATAGGACAGGAAGTAAGCTAGTTCTATCGCATGATCAGAGTTACCCGAGGTTAGCTGTATCTTCACTCAGTATCTTGCTCTAAGCTTATTTGTTTGGTTAGCTTTTTCTTCCAGGCCTATCATACTTAAAAGCCCTTAAAATACTATGAATTCCTAAATTAACCTAGCAAATAAAGGGGCAGAAGCCTGACTTTAAGATGAAGAAAAACAGATGCGCAAGGGTTTCAAAAGTTTTTAGGCAAAATATCTTAGATTGCCAACCCTTTTTCCTTCTCCAGTCCTTGGGACTGAACTCAAGGCCTTTCACACTGGGCTACATCACACTGGCTCTTTTTAAATCTTTTTGCTAAATCACTAAGCTGCCTAAGCTGGGCTCGAATCTGCAATTCTCCTGCCTCAGCCTCCCAGACTTCTGGGATTATAGATTCATACAACCATGCCCAGCGAAGTCACCCATCTTAAAGGATACCTCAGACCACAGTGCCCCCTTTATTGTCCAGACTGTTTTTGCTGAGTATGTACTGTGACTCTGCCCAATAAATCTGCTTATGTCACTTACACATCTGGAAATGTTTTTCTGTGACAGGAGTCCAGGAACCTACACTTTGGGGGAGAGGATGGGGAACTTGAAGGTCCCCATCTCCTTTGGGAAACGTCCTCAGACCTCAATCCGCGACAGCATCACAGTCTAAGACCCTGGGCAGGGACAGACGCAAGAGCAGTTCACAGCCCTTGCTGGTGGTTCTTAGGTCCCCACTGGGGCAGATGGGAGAAGGCAGCTGCCACATGGGACAGACACGAAGCACCAGTCAGATCTGCTCCCTTAGGGCACAGAAGACTTCAGATTTCGGGCAGAGGCCGCAAACTCTGTTGCCCCAAGGTATAGTTCCAGGCCCGCTATGGCTGCAGTGGGGCTCAAGCCCTGGCCATCGAGTCTTTGAGGGTTGCTTGCTACCTAAACAGAGGCCTCCAAAAATAATAAAAAGTAATAGAGACCTCCACTTCCACTACAACACGGGAGTGAACGCAGTCGGAAATGATTAAAATAAAGGTTGATATCTATTTAAATGGAATCAAGATTTTTCTTGCAAAAGTTAATAAGCAATTTTGTTGCTGTTCTTGCGAAATGAATGTATTACCATCTGATTATTTCTTTGAGTTTTCTTTTAAAAGATAAAAGTAATATGCACAAAATTCAAATTGTGTAAAAAGGACAATATTGAAGTAAAAATCGTGCCCTGTGCACTCCGGCTCTTTTCCAAGCCTCTGCTCACAAATGTGACGGGGATCACCTTCTACTAAGTTAGAGGCTGGGGGAGTCAGGATCTTGCTATGTTGCCCAGGCTAGTCTCAAACTCCTGGCCTTGAGAGATCCTTCTGCCTCAGCTTCCCAAGAAGCTGGGATGACAGGTGCGTGCCACCAGGCCTGTCTTGCATCCTAGCTTTATGAGCCATGGGGTCTTGGGTGAGTTGTTTGGTGGTAGTTAGTGCCTTAATCTTCTCATCTAAAAAGGCAGTAATCATAATACCAATACTTATGAACTTTATAAAACTCAGATGGGATATCATCTCTGGATCTCATGTGTTTCAATAGCAATTCTATTTTTATAGAGGTAATTTCAGACACAGAATTGTAAAAATAGTAGAGTTCTTATACACACTACATTCAGTTTTATCATCTTCTATAACCATAGTACAGTTATCAAAGCTAAGAGCTTAAGTTGGACACGGTGGTGCACACCTGCATTCCCAACATTCTGAGAGCTGAGGCGGGAGGATGCAAGCTCAAGCCCAAGTTGAGCAACTTGGTCACTTAGTTAAGACCCCCATTTCAAATGTAGAATTAAAAAAAGGGGTGGGGATATGTAGTCCAGTGTGAAGGCTCTGGATCCAATCCCCAGTTACCCCCACACACACACACGGACACACACGCACCCGTAAGAAGTTAACATTTGCCGTGGTCTGACTATGTGTGTTCCCCGCAGGCATATACTGAAATCCAAGCCAAGATGATGAGGCCTTTGGGATGTAGCTAGGCCCCGAGGGTAGAACCTTCCTGAAAAGGGTTAGGAGGCGCTAGCTGGGCCTTTCCCATGTGAGCCACAGGCAGAGTCCACTGAACACTGAAGCTGCTGGCCCTTTGATCTTGGACTTCCTAGCCTCCAGGGCTCTGGGCGGGGCCTGTTGTTTATAAGCCCCGCCCCCATCTGTGATATTTTCTTACAGAAGCCCGAAGGGACGATGACAGAATTGGTACACTGTTAACTACCGTGTACTGTGCTACAGGCTCTCCAGGTTTCACCACTAATGTTTTTTCTCTTCTGCGGTCCAGTCCAGGAGACCACATTGCATTTGTCATTTGTGTCCTTCTACTCTGTGCTGGTTCCTCAGTCTGTCTCCCTTCTGTCTGTCCATCTTTGTTGCTGAGACAGAATTTCACTCTGCAGTTCAGGCTGGCCTTGAACTCACTTTGTGGCTCAGGCTGGCCTTGAACTTGCAGCGATCCTCCTGCCTCAGCCTCCCGAGTGCTGGGATTACAGGGGTGTGCCACCACACCCAGCTCCTCTTTGTTTCTTTTCACCTGATCATCCTGGAGGAACACTGGTTAGATGTGTTGTGAAATGCCCTTCAATTTGGGTCTGTCTGATGTTTGCTCCTGGGTAAGTTGAGGTTACGTGTTCTGGGCAAGAATGGCAGAGAGGTGCTTTATGTCCCGCTTGGCACATCTATCAGGGGCTCGTGGCACCCTGTCTTGTTGATGGACTCACCTTGGCCACCTAGTGACGAGGGTGTGTGCCGGGCTTCTCCCCCGCTGAGTGGCTATTTTCCCCCTTTGTCACCAATAAACATCTGGGCTGCAATGCCCCTGATATTCTGAAAGTACCTTATTTCTTCATAACCTTTCACTCACTCTCTTGAGCACCAGGCACTGGACGTTACCCGCAACAATTATCATCCTGTCGTTCAAGTGGGGTGACATTCCATTTCTCTCACCCAGGCTGTTGGTTAATTGGAATTCTTCTGTAAGCGTTTTCCCTTTCATATCCTTTTACTTGTGCAATCATGTATCATATCAGTGCCAGAAGAGACGTTTCTACCTGTAGGCTGGTAAATGTCCATGGAAACATGGATCTCTTCTAGCTAGAATAACCATGCCGCGAGCAAGGAAGCTGTCCAGAAATCCCCAGGTGGGCAGCCTTTTTGGCACTGGGGTTTGCCTACTCCAGTGATGGGCACAGAGGTCCCACTGTCACCCGCTCAAAATGCCCGGCGCCCACTTACTGTAGCCCATCAAGGTGAACGCTCCTATGAGCATGATCCCCGTCTGCAGAGCGTCGGTGTAGATCACAGCGGCCAGGCCACCTGCGGGGAGGAGCGCGGCTGTGAGGATGGGGAAGGTTATTCCGGGGCACAGAGAGAACCAGGGAGACCAAGACCCGACACATTCCTCCGGCTTGGTTGGTTGCAAAGGTGACCGCAGTAACTCCCGCAATACGGCTTTGCGGCACCTCTCACGTTGGGCTGAAGCCGATTTCTCTACCTCTAAAACAGGGGCTTGGCCCTGTGACTTGCTTCAGTCCATGGAATAGGAGGAAGTGACGTGCAGCTCCGGGCCTCGCCCTCCTCCAGCCCTGTGCCTTAGCGCTCTCTCTCATGTTGCCCTGAGAGCTTCTTGCCTTTGGAAGCCAGGTCCAACCTAGAGGAGGATGCTGCCCCACGGAGAGAGCGCCTAGCTCGCAGCCCAAGGTAGCCACAAGCTACATGAGTAATGCCGTCTCTTTCTAGCCACCAGCCCAGATGCCATCTGGCTACCCTCAACAAAGCCACGTGAGACCAGTCGCCAGCCGCTCGAGAACCCGTGAAGCTGAAGGGAAAAGTGAACCGTTAGGTTTAAATCCTTCAATGTGTGCGTGGTTTGTTATACAATTTCTCACTGAAACAGGAAGTGGTGTTTGGGCCACAGTCCTCAAGCTCCGAATAGCATTATCTTTTTTTTTATTTTTTATTGAAGGGAATTTTTTATTTGAAAGAGAAAAGCAATAAACATGATATAAAATTTTAGAACAAGATAGTAAGAGTAAGCATTATCTTTTGATTTGGAAAAAGGATGTGAGTACTAAGTTTTTGAAAACCTCTTAGACTTTAACAGGGTCATGGTCTGCCTAAGAGGATTCAGGTGGGTTTGCCACCTGGAAAAGTCCTTGCAGTGGCGATGATGGCAGCAGATCCATCGGCATTTGGACAAAGCAGCCTTTCCGGTCTCTTGTCCGTACCTCCCGCTTTCCTCCTCCCGCAAGGGGAGGGACGTTCATCTGAGATGAACATGTTTATGAGACGGGACATCACTGTGCAATTAGGAAAAGCATACACGTGGGCACAGTGTCCTGGGTCTACCCTTCCTCAGCAGGAAGAGACCCTCACACAACGGAGGGTGATCTGGCGTGGATCCCGGCACAAGTTCTGCTGCCCTCTCGTGACTCGGCCTGAAGGTACCAAGAGCCTAACAGCTGGGTTCTCACACACACATAAAATCACCCTACTGCTGTTTAGTGAGCATTTATCATTCGCCAGGCGTTGTGATGGGCGTTACATTTAACCAGTCACCAAATATCTGGGGAGTGTCCAACGGGTTCTACGTGATAGGGATGCAGAGACCTCGTGGAGCCTACCGTCTAACGGGGGAGAGGGGCCCCCCCCAACGCATGCAGAGATAAGTTGGCTGTGGCATCTCGCCCTCCCTCCCTCTCTGCCCCAGGTGCTTGTGGTCTGTTCTGAAAACTCGGCCAAGGTCCCCCACGTTAGGAGCCTTTGCATGTGTGAGATTTTGCTTTTCTGTTTAGAGGATCCAGTAGTGTTCTGTGGGAGCAAACCCAGGCTTGTTTTATGTCCTCGGAGCTTGGGTTGTTCTCCTCTAACCACCAGGGCAGCGGTGTGGCACAAGGCCAGGGCATGCTGTCGTCACTCCGGTTTGGAAGAATGGCGCCCCAGAAGCTGAAGAGAGCGCGTGCACGGCCGTGTGCTCACTCAGCGGTGGGCCACAACCACCAGCCCTGGCTGCTCCTCGGAGGAGCAGACGGGCCTCATCCCACGCTTCCCCTCCTCTGCCCGCACCCAAGTGAGCAGCACTGCATCAAGATGTCACCTCAGCGAGGCCTTCGTGACCTCCCCCCCCATATCCTCGCCCCGCTGGATTCGCACTCACAGCACGAATCGGGTTGGAATGGTGCTCCCAGACGCAGTCATCGACCTCTTTAGCCCATTTCCTCAGACGCACTAAGTGTAAATCCCTCCGTGGTGGGGATTTTCATTCTGTCTTGTTTACTTCTGTGCCCCATTCCCTAACGTCAGGCACATAGTAGGTGACACACATTCACACGTGTGTGTGCATGTGCGTTTGTGTACGACTCACTGTACCAAGAAGAGGCAGGGGAGGGGGGAGGCTGGGGCAGGGGAGGAGGTAAATGTTAGAGGACGGTGACTTGTCAAGGCCCTGCTGCATGCTCAGAAATCTTTCCAACTGTGGTAATGCACTGAGGTTCAATGAATGATCTGCAAAGCGCTGAGAAGGTGGGGTCGGCCCCAGCACCCCCAGCTCTCCAGCGCCCCCCGCCCCGGCAGCCGTACCTGCCACAGTGTACAGAGCTGTGACGGCCAGCAGCCCCACGACCGCCAGGTACAGGTCCAGGTGCAAAGCCTGCTGGATGAAGATGGCGCCTGCGTACATGTCCACCTGCAGAAACGGGCAGTTCACAGATGCGTGAGTATTTGCAGCGAGTTTTCGCCAGCATCGGGCTCCAGCCGAGGTTCTGGCAGACACAGATGAGCCGTCCGTTACACTGCTTTTTTGGTTCATCTCATCCCAGGTCAGCGGTCTCGAACTGGCCCCCGCCCCAGGCAAACGCAAGGACTTCCCTCGGGGGCCTCCAGCTTCGGGCCTTGGTCTTCTGCCCTCCGTGCTCCACCGCACGCTCCGGGACCCCATCCCTGTCACACTGTCCTCTCCCCCTAGGATGCCTGAATTGCCCCCTGCGGTCCCGAGACCACGGCTGCAGACAGAGCTGGAGTTGCAAGCCAGCCATGCCCCTGCGATCTGCCTGCTTCCCAGCCTCGTCTCCTTACTCACTTTGAATCCCTGCCCTCCAGGCGCTCTCAGAAACTCCATGTTCCCAAGATGCCGCGTTCGCCCAGGCATCCGAGCTTTGGCTTGTGCCGCCTCATCCTCCTGGAAGGACTGGGGACTCCTCGGAGGTGGAGCGTGCCCTGAAAGGCTTTCCTTCCACCTGTAGCTGCCCCCGTCGCCCCCCGACCGCAAGTGAGTGCCCCGCACACGACTGTCCTTTGAGCTTCAGGCTGGAGCTGAGTCCCTTACTGTCTTGGAAGGAATGGGATTCCTCCTGTCCCTCCCCACTCACCCTCCTCGCTTTGCACAAACGCCTCCCACTCCCAGCCTGCAGCCTGGGCCAGGCCCACTGAGCGGTGTGCGCCTCTGTTCTCAGCCGCGGTCCAGGAGGTCTGGCCGGCCAAACGTCAGGGTGAGGCGAGCCCCGGGGCCATCAGAACGTCCAGCCGGGAGCTGAGCCCCGCTGACCGCAGGAGGAAGATCACGGTCCCAGCAGCGGGGCAGTCACGCCCACCATGCTCAGCTGCCCAGAGGAGGCCCTCCGCTCCGCCTGGCCTTTCTCACACCTCCCTCTGTCCCTGCCCACCCTCTCCCCGTCTGCCCCGCCTTCCTCGGACAGCCCAACCTGCCCAAGAGGAGGAGAAGGCAGACGGGCACCGGGCGATCCGCTGTGACGCGGCCAGGCCACGCCCCTGCCTTACCGAGATCTTGGTGAAGATGTAGATGAATAGGTACAGCACGGCCAGCGTGATGGAAATCCTGCTGCCTCCGAAGCGGCGCCTCAGGTATTCGGGCATCGTGGTGACCTGGGGGGCGGGCGGGGTGCAGAGCGGCTTGCAGCACCCAGCTGACCTTGGCCGTGCGTCGCCTGGTCGCCAGCTCACCCACACCCTTCCTCCTCCCGCTTCCCAAACTCAGAAGCAGGAAAGGCCTTGCTGGGATTCTCAGGGGAGACTTGAGAAGAAGGGGAAAAGTGGGGAGCAGGAAGTGTGTGCCCAACTCACACTATGAACATCAGGTGTGTGCACCCCGTCCCGATTTTGCTATGGCCTGTAGGATTTTTCATGTAATGTTCATCTTTAAGCCAACTCACTTTTTAAATTTAAATAAATTTACCTAAAAAAGAAACTTTAAACCACGACCATCAGTGGGAAACCGGTCTTCTATTTAAGGGAATCCTCAAACATAAATATAGGAGTGTTCATGTTTCCTGGGATAATTTTAAGATTCACACACAGACACCCACATCAAGCCTCTAGAAGATCCATAGACATATGTTCTAAACTCTAACACTCTTGGTATATTATGCAATTTTAAAGTCACTAATTCAAAAATAAGTATACTTTAACATATCACGAGCAACAATAGCCCATAAACACATATACTCATTGCTTTGTTAGATGTGTAACACGTTTTGCTTGACATTTGGCAAAATGTAAAATAAAACCACCTATAAGGTGGTAACACTAGGGCTGGGGATATAGCTGAGCGGCACAAGCACCTGCCTGGCGAGTGCAAGGTCCTGAGTTCAATTCCCTGTACAAGAAAAAAAAAAGTAACACTTAAAAATTACAGGAATGATAGAATGTTCACTTATTTCCTATTCTCTTCTGGAAACTTACTGTTGCCCATCAAAACTCTGGGTCCAGAACCAAATTATTTAAAGAGAAAAGGCGAAGAGAGGAGAAGAGACGGGGGAGGGTAGGGAGAGAGATTGAAGCTGTTCGAGTGTTAAGGGCAATACGAGCTCCAACATGAGGCTTTGCCCTCGGGTCCTCCTGATAAGATCGTTATACCATGTACCTCATTCTGCACCCCGTGAACACGGACAATTATTATGTGTCAATGAAACATTAAAATGAAGCATAGTTTTAAAAATCTAAACTGAAAGGCAATGGGAAAGAGCGTATCCTTCCTGTGGGATCCAGTGTAACTGGCCGCATGACCCACACCCAGCATCCTCTCAGGAGTTTCTATTTGTTCCGTGTTCTAAACTTCGGGGAGACTGTCCGCACTCTACCCCTGCAGCCTGCTCCCCAGGCGAGGCAGGGGATTCTAGGAGCAGAATGTGCAGGGACACAGAGGCTGCGGTCGGGGAAGACGGAGTCCTGGAAGCTCCCTGCGCTGTGGGCGGGACTCTGAGGGTGGAGGCGTGTTACCATCCGGGGCACCCAGGGCCCGGGCCATGCGGCTGAAAACTCGCACTTGAGTTGCGTTTTGCCTGCCTTTTGCAGTGTCTTGTCTCGCTTTCTTTGCCCACTGCCGACTCTGGGACTTCAAGCCAGCAGCAAACCCCCCTCAGGTCCCAGATCTGGGGTGAGCGCAGAGTGGTGGTGATACTCGCAGGGTACAAATTGCAACTTGAGTTTTCCCAAACCTAACCCAGGAGGGAGGCCAACTTTGAGCCTGTAACAGAAAATGTCCGCCCCTTTCCGTTTCTTAGTTGCCCAGGTAACAGTTCCGGTTCCGGTTCCGGTTGCTCCTGTCTCTTAGAAACGGCTGGGCACTGTGATGCACACTGTATAAACCAATCCCTAGCTGACAAGTCATTCTATCTCTGTACCTGCTGCTTGCTTCTCCCATATAAGCGCTAGACCCTCAGAGACTGGGGCCTGATATTGCGGGAATGATCCCAATCAGGGCCCGTTGGCATAAATAAATCTACGTCCAAATCCTAGGTGTCCTTTCGGTGTTTCTGCTTGCCGTTGCAAGGTGATGAATGGCACACCATCTGTTTGTTTGAAGGTCTGATGATAAAGCAGAAGCAGGCAGGGGAGACAGAGAGGGCCTGAGAGCCAGACCTGCTTCAACAATTATAAATTGTTGATAGTGGAGTCTGGATGTTCAAAACTATAAAGGTAAAAACAGAAACACTAAATCTTACTGGAAGAGAAAGTAGGTAGAAATCTTGAAGACACGGAGGTAGACAGAGGGTTCATGAACAAAACCCAGACTGCACAGGAAATACTTCAAAGGGTCAACAACTGGGGAAAACTTTTGCACATTGAAAGGAATCACCAGCAGAGTGGGAAAAAATTTTAGCCAACAGTCCCTCAGAGAAAGGACTTCTTTCTAGGACATACAAAGAATTGAAAAAAATTAGGCCCCCCAAATTCAAAGACCCAATTCAAAAATGAGCATTTCAGATGAATACACACTTGATGAAGAAATACAAATGGCAAGTAAATATATGAAAAAATGTTCACTATTATTGGTCATTCAAGAGATGCAAATTAAAACAACATTGAGATTCATCTCACCCCAGAAAGAATAGCCATCATCAAAGAATCAACCAATAACAAATGCTGGAGGGGCTGTGGGGAGAAAGGAACCCTTCTCCACTGTTGGTGGGAGTGTAGACTGGTGCAACAACTCTGGAAATCAGCATGGAGATTCCCCAAAAAGCCCAGGATTAGAAGGTCCCATTTGACCCAGCTATTTCGCTTCTGGGTATCTTCCCAGAGGAATTAAAGACATCATACCATAGCGATATATGTGCACCCACGTTTATAGCAGCACAATTTGTCATAGCTAACTCTTGGAAACCACCCAAATTCCTATCAACAGAGGAATGGATGAAAAAGATGTATTTTTATACAATGGGAGTATTACTCAGCTATAAAGAAGGATAAACTTTGAGACTTTATAAGTAAATAAGCTGTAACTTGAGACCATACTCATAAGCAAAATAAACCAGACTCTCATGTGTAAACGTTGTATTGTCTCCTTGGTGTGAGAAACTGAAAGAGTAAATAAGGTCTAAGCTGTACAATAGATATTCTGACAGGGGAAGAAATTGTTCAAAAGGAAAAAAGAACTAGGGTGGGGAAAGGGAAAAAAAGTTGAGTCAGTTATACTTATCACTGTCTTAGTTCATTGAAAAGGCAGGTTTGTGCTAACATCATTGGAGAAATTTTAATGTCCATATCTTATACTCTGAGTAACTACTTTAAAGCTAACAATATGCAATGTATTAACTATTGTTATTCTCCTATTTTGTTATGCAATTTTGTTTTACCTTTTTTCCAGAAAATAAAAATAGAAAGGTATTCAGTATAACATCAAGCTTTAACATATTTGAAATGTTTTACATAAAATATAATATTGGGCAAAAACTGAACTCTAAATATAAATGGACACTTTTTTTGAACAGAAAAAACATGGATGGTCCTGCCTGGATCTTTCTGATTTGCTTCAAGGTGGGCAGAATAGGCCATTTCTGGAAGCACTTTGTTACTGAACTCTGACTCTGTCAGGGGATAACGCACGGTGAGCTCAGTCACACCTTGGACAGAGGCAGGGGGAGGGGGTCCTTCTCATGATGGTGGGAGGACCACTCAGAGAGCCAGCTGAGAGCTCCAGTGCATTCAGACAAACGTACTAGGACACTCCCGACCCCGGTTCCCCAAGTCATCATCAGCAACTGGCAACTGCCAGCCGGGCTGTGCTAGAGACAGAGACACTCCTCTCATTGGCTGACAGCCTCCTTGCAGGAAGCTTCTCTGGGGAGACTGTCAAGCAAGCTGGCAGACAGGGCTGTTATAAAGTAACTGAAAAAAAAGCAGTTTACTAAGCTGGGTGTGGTAGTGCAGGCTTGCAACCCCCAGCGCTCCAGGAGGCTGAGGCATGAGGATCCCAAGTTCCAACTCAGTCTGGGCAATTCTGCAACTTAACAAGGCCCTGACTCAAAAGGGGGGTGGGAATGTAGCTTAGTGAGAAGGTCTAAAGTTCGGGCCCTAGTACCAGAAAAAGAGAGACAAAGGCAATTTACCAACAGACAAGGGACAGAGAGAAGTTAGGGGCTTGGGAAACTACGCAGGAATCCTTCCTGCCTTGAATGTGTCCCTGATCCTCGGGTTGAAGATGCTTAAGAAATGACGATGGTTCGGAGACCCTGAACTCAGTGGTCCCTGGGCTGCATTTTCCAAAGCTCTCCCGGCCTCCCTGGTGAGGGAGGGCTGTCTGCTGTCCGCTAACACAGGGACACCCTCCGGCTGGGGCTCGTGGAAGGCCAAGGAGAGATAAATGCAGCCGCCGTGGGAGGGCGCCACTCCAGCCTGGGGTCCTCGCTCCTTCATGCGTCTTCTCCTCGTGGTGGTGAGGCCAGCGAGAGGCCTTCAGCACGCGTCCTCTCCCCGGGTCACATCCAGACGCCACCCAGATGCTTGTGTCAGAGCCCTCTCCTCCCCTGACGTTCAGCCATCCCGGTGCGGCGACCTGCGCCCCGCCTAGGGCTTCCCCTCCTGGTGGGGAAGGGTCTTCGTGGACTTTCCTCCTGGTGGGGAAGGGTCTTCGTGGACTTTCCTCCTGCTCTGGAGCCAGCTCCGGCAATGATGTGGAGAAACCCCCACATGGACGCCACGCCACGCCACACCATGCCACGCCACACCATGCCACGCCAGTGTCTGTCTTCACTTTCCTCAGTAATTTGGCTTCTCCACCCCCCAACCCATGTCTCTGGCCCAAACCCAAGCCCGGTCACCTCCAAGTCACCTTGACGCCGAATTCCCACTGGCTCTGCCCGCTCACTCCTGACCAAGGGCCTCTGCTTCGGGATTTGACGAGGCTCGCGGCCCCCAGTTGGTGCCTCTGTGGGCTGATGGATCGTGCGTCACTTCCCTTCCTCTGGGTTCAGGGAAGAGCCGGGGATTGATGCATTCCAACAGATATTTACGGAGCGTCTGCTGTGTGCCAGGCACTATTTTAGACAGTAAGAAAATGGACAGTCCCTGCCCTCCTGGGAGAGACACACGCCTAGTGCAGTGGTTCTCAACCAGGGAGGGCTTTTCAGCTTCCAACGGGGCATTTGGCAGTGCCTGGAGATACTTTAGCAGCAGCCCCCAAACTGACAGCCAAATATCCTGCAGTGCACAGAACACCCCCAAAGAACTGTCTGGCACTGAACGTCACTAGCGCAGAGGGTAAGAACCCCTGGTCTGGTGAGTCAAACCTACACAGTGTAGCGTGATGCACAGAGATGCATTATTGTAATAACCATGCAAGTAGCTGGGTGTGGTGGCGCACGCCTGTAATCCCAGCACTACGGGAGGCTGAGGCAGGAGGGATCCATGTGAGTTCAAGACCAGCCTAGGCTACAAAGTGAGCTCAAGGCCAGCCTGAACTGTGTAGCAGAGACCCTATCTCAAAAAGACAAAAGAGAAAAAAAAAAAAAAACCAAAGGCAGAATGACAACAGCGGCAGATACAACCGAGGAGCCAGCCTCATCCTGAGGTCAGACAGGATTTCTGGAGGAGTGGTTGTTGGACCTAACATCTGGATGAACAGGAGTTAGCCAGATCGAAGACGGGAAGTGGGAAGCTTCCCAGCAAGAGGGAAGCAGGGCCCAGTGGGCACGGGGAATTGCTTGGTAGAACAAGGCCGAGAGTATGCCTGGCACACTTCTCAGGACATGTTTCCTCATTGCCCAATTGTGTGAAGTGATAGAAGAATGTGTAGACTTCATTTTCTGTGTTTCCATTTTTGGCACCAGGACCTGAACTCAGGACCTCGCTGTGCCGCTGAGCTCTACCTAATCAACACTGTCTGCCACTATCTTGGTGGGCAGTCTCTGCAGGATACTACCCTCCGCATATGGCGGGGAAAAATAAACTCTAGGTGCATAGAGACGGAGATAAATGGACGAGACCCACTCACCTCATGGTTTCACAACCGCCTCAAGGGCGCAGCCCCTCACCTGAGACCCCCCACCGGGCCGAGCGTGGCCAGACTCCACCGCCCACACTGCCACCAACCGGCGGCCGCGCCTTCCGCACTCGGACCTCTGAGGGACCTTCCAGAGCCAGTCGGCAAGGAGTGATTTCCCCAAAGAAGAAATGCAGATGGCCGGAGAGCGTATGAAGAAAACGGTCAGCTCAAGGCACAGTGACCTCCTACTACGCTCGCTGGACGAGCCAGAGTTTTAAAGTCGGGGAGGCCAAAGTGTCAGCAACGACGGGGTGGGGGAGTGCTGGAGCAGAGAGAATTTTCAGCTCGCAAGTGGGAAGATTATGGAGGGAAGTGCTCTGGGAGTCTCACGCTAAGCCCAACATGCCCCGGTTCAGGGGCCTGGAGACGCCCTCCACCCACACACGTCCACGTGCATCAGGACACACAAAGGCGTGGCCCTGGGGACGGGGACGCAGCATGAGAGTGTGGCCCTGGGGACCAAGACACAGCACAGAAGCGTGGCCCTGCGCCTCAGTGCTCGGGCACCAGCCAGCGGGTAAATATTTTGGGATGGGCTCATTCTACAGAGGGCTGCACAGCAGCTGCAGAAGAACCTGGGGTTCTACCGATGGTATAACTTTTTGAAAAGTGAAATCAAAATTTATTATCCAGGCGTGCATAAGAAGACCCCTAGGAAAAACACAGATGCGAGTCCTTACTAGGAAGGAGAAAGGCGGGTGTGGTGCTCTCCTGACCTCGTGGTGGGGAAGTTACATTTGTTTGTATTTTTTTGGTACTGGGAACCGAAGTCACGGCCTCACGCTTGCCAGGCAGGTGCTGCGCCTCTGAGCTCTATCCCCAGCCCGAGCTACCTTTTATGTCTTGTTTGGGTGTCTACCTCGCAGGAGTTTGCTAAGCTGCACGCTTGGGTTTACTGCTTTTTTTTCTGTGTGTATTTTATTTCCCAATAAAAGTTAAACTGGCAGCTTTTCCTCTCTTCTCGGCCGCCAGCCTTTGCTCGGTCTCTCCTTTGAGTGCATGCAGGGTGTTGCCCAAAGTGTGCCTAGGGCCAGAGGATTTATTTATTCACTTATTTTTCCAGCCCTGGGGATCGAACCTACGGCCTGGCGCCAGCTAGACAAGCAGCCTCCCAGCTAGGCTTCCCTCCAAGCCGTCTTCTCTCCGTGTGATAACAGGGGCGGCCGGAGGCCAGCGCGTCTCCGCCCACGTCATCCCTTTTCTGGCGCCCCGGACCGCATCGGCGGACGGTGACAACTGCGCCCTTCTTCCATTCAGTCAGAGGAGCCGTTCAGGTCCCCGTGGCTCTTCTGACCCACACACACCCTTCTCGCTCTCCGCGGGTGATGCCGTCTTCTGCATTTGCCCGGGGGTGGAAGTCTTGAGCCCAGAGCACCCGGCGATCCCCGCTCGCACTCACCCGAGTCTGCACAGCCGACCTCCGCCCCTTGGTAGATGAGGAGGAGCAACTGCTGGCGCTTTGGCCCGGACAGCTCCACTCCCGATCTGCATTGTGACTGTCCAGATACTTTGTTCAGGAGCTTGTCACAGCTGCACATGAGCAGACCCAGGCCCCTGTTCACCAAAAGCCCCTCTGCTCTCCCCAGGGCAGGCCGCTTGACCTGCATCACCATCCTTTACCCTAGACGGTACTTCTTCAGGTATGGAATAATTTTGAACATAATTTTTAATCCTCGCACATTTCTGTTCTGTGTATTTTTCTAAATTTCCATAATAAAAAGTTAAAATCAAGCTGAGTGTGGTGGCGGCATGCCTGTAATCCAAACAGTCTGGGAGGCTGAGGCAGGAAGATCGCAAGATTGAGCCCAGCCTGAGCAACTTAGCAAGACCCTGTCTCAAAAATAAAAATGTATGTAGCTTGGTGTGAAGGCCCCGGATTCGATCCCCAAGAGAAAAAAAAGAAGCTAAAGTCAGTTATTGCTTTATAAGTGGCATTATGTCATCTTACCATGTGTGACAGAGTACCTAACGAATGACCTGCAGACCGTCTGAGTGACGCCAGTGAGATCATGAATGATTTTCAAAGCTGCATTTCAAAAAGTCTGGGCCCAAGGTATGGCTTGGGGTAAAAATGTATGCTTAGCAGGCATGAGGCCCTGGGTGCCATCCTTCACACTGGGAAAAAAAAAAGTCTACAGCTGGTGCAATCACTGTGGAAATCAGTATGGAGATTCCTCAAAAACTAGGATTAGAGGTCCCATTCGACCCAGCTACTCCCCTCCTGGGTAAACATTGTATCGTCTCCCTAGTGTAAGAACCTGAAAGAGTAAAGAAGATCCAAAAGGTGCCGATAGATATTGTGAAAGGGAAAGAAACTGTTCAAAAGGAAAGAACTGGGATGGGGGAAAAGAATATATATATGTATATACACACACACACACACACACACACACACACACACACACACACAAAATAGCTAAGAGAACTACTACTAATTTCTATTCATTGAAAGGAACAGTTCGGGCTGGGGATTTAGCTCAGCGGCAAAAGCGCCTGCCTGGCAAGCGCAAGGTCGTGAGTTCGGTTCCCGGTACCGGAGAAAAACAAACAAAAAAAAAAAAAAACAACAACAACAACGAAAGGAACAGTTCATGCTTAATTGTTTGGTCAATCTTGCATGCCTGTATCTGGTAATCTGAGCAACTACTTCGAAGATAACAATATGCAATACAATAACCATTGTTAACTTCCTATCTTGTTTTAAAATTCTGTATCATTTTTAAAAATTCTCTTTAAAATAAAAAAAAAACTATAGCAACATAATTTTGCAACATTCAAAAGACTGCGTTTTACGCTTGTGTTTTAGACTTTTAGAAACGCTTTATGCCACATCTTTTCCAGATCCCGGGAGTTACCAGGCAGAGTCGCTCAGAGAGCCCCGCCCCCACCCCCGCCCCCGCCCATTGATGGCCTCTGCATGCCTGGCCCTCCCGGAGAGAGGGGGCCCACCCTCAGCACCCCAGCCCCCCCTCACCTGGCCTGCGATGTAGATGGGAAGGAAGATCCAGGACAACATCAGCACAGAAAATAAGCCCTGGCCAAGAAAGCACAGTCAGAACTCGGCTTCCAGTTCCTGAGAAGGAGCCGCCTTAAATTTCTCCTCTGCCTCCTGAGGTAGCCTGGCCTGAACTCCGCCTCTGATCCTAGACCCTTACTTGCTGAGTAGCTCCCCTTCATTGGCCTTCCTATTTGGATTTTTAAAACGGGGAGAAGAGAGCCATGTGCAGTGGGTCACGCCTGTAGTCCCAGCCTCTTGGGAGGCTGAGGCAGGAGAATCTCTGGAGCCTAGAAATTTGAAGCCCCTGGGCAGCATAGCAAGACCCTATCCTAAGAAAATAAAAACCAAATCAAAGACAAAATCAAAAAACAATGCAGAGGAGAGGGTTAAATAGAAAAGGAAAAAAAGCAATAGGTTTCCTGAATGCCATGCCACCCCATTTCATTCAGCTGCACTTTCACCTTTCCTACCAGCTGGTTAAAACAAAGTGGTGAGAGGCTGAGGCAGGAGGATCAAAGTTCAAGCCCAGCCCGGGCAACTTAGCAAGATCCTGTCTCAGAATAAAAAATAATAAAAGGCTGGAGATGTAGCTCAGTGTGAAGACCACAGGCTCAATCTCTGGTACTTCAAAAATGAAAAGCAAAGCAAAACCAAATACGGGGGCACGGGGGGACCAAAACACCCAAATCCAGAGGCCACGAAACCTAGGATCAAAGACTGCAGCCACAGAGAAGCCTGGGCAAGGCTGCCCCACGGGTTAGACTTGCTTCTTACTTGTGAAACGGGCAACCGTGCTTTGCTAGTTCTCCGCGGGGAGGCCATCAAGGCGGCATTTACTGTGTGCTCACGGAATGTCGGACGCCCTCTGCAGGCACGGGTGCGTCAGTGCCACAGCGGCTCGTGTGGCAGGTGCCTTTGGTCCCCGTTCTGTGTACGCGCGAATGAAGCGGCGTAAGGAGCACGCCCAAGCTCACACCACTGAGGCAGGACGCGAACGTGGGTGACCTGGGTCCAGTCTGTAACTGAATTCCACGAGGTGACAGTGCACGTAATGGACTCAATCTGTGCCTCGTAGAGGGTGAGCCCTTGAACAGCGGCAGTCAGCCGGGCGTAGTGGCGCACGCCTGTCATCCCAGCACTCGGGAGGCTGAGGCAGGAGGATCACTGCATAGTTCGAGGCCAGCCTGGGCCACAAAGTGAGCTCAAGGCCAGCCTGAACTGTATAGTGAGACCCTGTCTCAAAAAGGCAAAGAAAAAGGCAGTCACTGTGAAGATGAAAGCCAATCCTAGTAAGCGCAAAGCCTCTTCCCAGGAAAAGCCATCCGGGGTGAATCCTGCTCTGTACAAACCTGTGTACTTTCTTTTGGGTAACTCTTGGGGCATAAAAAAAGTCAAATACCACTGTGCTGTATAATTTTTTTTTTTTACAGTACCAGAGATTGAAGCCAAAGGCTTCACTTTAAGCTACATCCTCAGCTCTCTTTCTACTTTTTATTGAAACAAGTTTTCACTAAGTCACCAAACTGTCAGGATGGCCTTGAATTTGGGATCCTCCTGCCTCAGCCTTATAGGCGATGTGCTGCATCCCCAGCTCTAAGCCGTGCAATTTTCATGATGGCTAGCTAATGTCTACAATATACAGAAATATCCTGTGGTCCTGTGATGGTTTCTTTTTCCTGTACCCACAAATCGGGGAAGGACAAGTTTGTCTGCAGCAAACAGGAGTGGGGGGGGTGGGAGGGAGACCTGAGACTTAACAGGTCCAGTTGAATTCAGTGGGCCAAGGGCACCCTTGAAGTCTCCTGTTTGTTTTTCCATCAAGTGCTGTTCTAGTTGGGTGTGGTGGCACATGCCAGTGATCCCAGCTACTTAGAGGCTGAGGCAGGAGGACTGCAAGCTTGAGCCCAGCCTGGGCAACTTAGTGACTTAGCGGGATCCTGACTCAAATTAAGAAATGGAGAAAGATCTGGGGTGTAGTTCTGTGGCAGAGTTCTCACCTACAGCAGACAAGGTCTTGGCAAAAAAAAAAAAAAAGTGTTGTTCTACTTCGGAAGTGCAGGGCCCTCACCCTTTCCCTCCACAACCCCCCTGTCAGGTGGAGGTGAGAAGTCCCTGCCCAGGGTCCAATACTTACATTAAACTCATAAGCAGTCACGGAGATGCCCACAGACGCGCCCGACCCCGCCAAGCCAATGAAATGTCCGCTTCCAATGTTGCTGGCAAACAAAGAGGCCCCCACCTGTGGGGGGAGGAGGCGTCAAAGCACAGGACGGGGGCAGAAAGAGAAACGGAGAAGGCAGGGCCCTACAGACCTCGTGTAGCGTCCTTGTTCAAGTTAGAAAAAGCCTGTCTCCCGCTACTGTCCTACTTCCACCAATGGACAAGGCCTGAAATCTGAATTGCACCTCGTAGGGGGTTCAGCACACAGCTTGAACAGCTGTCTGCAGTGTCCCTGGAAGGCAGAGCGACAGGTGCTGTGGCTTATGTCTACACAGCTCCCCAGACCCATGTGGTCTCAGGTGCGGAGTTCTGAGGGTGACTGGGTTATGGTGTGATGCTGGGATGAGGGGTGCCCAGCCTGGGTGTAGGTGGCACCACCCAAGAGGCAGGTATCTTGGATGGAATATAAATGCGCGGAAGCCGGGCGTCGTGCCACAGCCTGTAATCCCAGCACGTGGGAGGCTGAGGCAGGAGGATCACTGAGTTGAAGGCCAGCCTGGGCTACATAGTGAAACCTGTCTTTAAAAAAAAGCACAGAAAGAAGCTGCTGTGCTACTTTGTTGCCTTCTGCCTGCCATGGACTGTTCCTCTGAGATGCCCTCTGCCATGCCGCCCTGCCTTGGAGCCAGCCAGCTATGGACTGAAACAGCTATAAATGGCGAGCCAAAGGAAACCTTTCTTCCTGTAGCTTTGGGTGTTGGGTATTTTGTCCCAGCGATGACAGAAGCAAAGCAGACAACAGGTATTGCAGAAAATACTCCAGGAGGAGCAGCAGGAAGCCTGTGCTGCTCGCCAGCCCCGAGTCTAACTTAGCAAGGGAGACAGCCCTCCGGGGAGGGTGCCGAGTGGCCGGGCTCACGCGATCACTCCGCCCCGGCTCAGCTTGCTGGATTGGATGAGCCTGGGACCGTGTCCGACCTGGGCCAGTTGTATTGCCTCTCCAGGGAATGCGGGGTGGGAGGAATCTGCCGGTGCCTTGGACTTGGGACAGGGACGTCAGGGAGGGGTGTGTAGGACAGAGGGGAGAGCCGTGCTGAGCCGTGCACTTTTCACCAGTGCCGTCTGCTGAGAGGAGGAAGGTGACACGCAGATCATATGTGGAGGGGACAGGAGAGAGAGATGGGAAGCGGAGGAAGGAGAAAGAGGAGTAAAGAGAGGAAGGGGAGGGGGAGGGAGGAAGGAAGAGAGCTGTGAGGTGCTGTGCCGCCCCCTGGCCTCCCAGCCTCCGACTGAGCTACGTGTCTACCCTCCACCCTCGCTCTCTGAATTACTGTAGGTGTGTAGTTAACTTTTGGAGTCTGGAAACACGAATCCTCCAAGTCTGCTCTTTTTCTGGATTGTTCTAGCTGTTCTGGGACAGAGTCCTACATGGGTTTTAGGGTCAGCTTATCCATTTTTGCAAAAGAAACAAAGCTGAGATTTTGATTCACAGATCAGTGTGAGGAGCATTGCCATCTTCCTATGTTATTCACCGGTGGTGACAAATACATGATTAGCGGCTTATGGGGTCATCTAATTGTTTTGATTTTGACCTTGTTTTGTTTTTGAGACAAGGTCTTGCTGTGTAGCCCAGGCTGGCCTTGAACTCACAACGATCCTCTTGCCTCAGCCTCCTGAGTGCTGGGACTATAGACATGCACCATCACACCCACCTACGCAGTTGTCTTTTTAAAAGGACAAGCAAAATTACATTGCAGTCAAAAATAATTTCACTGTCTATTTTTTTCCCGTGTAGTTACCTTGACTAGCACTCTTTCTCTATGTAGATTTCAATTACGCTCTAGTGCTCACTCATTTCAGCCTGAGTATTTCTTTCAACGCAGATCTAGGTTTTTGTTCTCATTTTCAAGAGCATACTCTGATGTCTAGGCTTCTACTTTATTTTTGAAGGATCATTTTGCTTAGTACAAAATTATTGGTTATGACCTTGTTCTTGGAGTACTTCAGGCTGACTGCCCCATGGCTTCGCTTCTCAGATGAAAACCCAGGTGTGAGTCTCGCTGAAGATTTTTGGAAGTGATGAATTGCTTCTCTGTTGCTGCCCTCAAAACTTCTTTTCTTGTATTTCCAGTAATGTGGTTATGATGTGTCTAGGTGTGCATCTCCCCTACCTGGGGTCCACTGAGCTCCTTAGGTGTGCAGATCAATACTGTCAATCAAACTTAATTTTAGGCCGGGCATGGTGGTGCATGCCTGTAATCCCAGCACTCGGAAGGCTGAGGCAGGAGGATCATTGCGAGTTCGAGACCAGCCTGGGCTACGAAGTGAGCTCAAGGCCAGCCTGAACTGCATAGTGAGACCCTGTCTCAAAAAGACAAAAAAAAAAAAAACACCTTAGTTTTAGAGCTGTTTGTTCTGATATTCTTCGTACTCCCTTCTGAAATCGGCGTCATGCACATGTTATTGCACTTGACGATGTCCCACAAATCTCCGAGACTTTTTCTTCATTCTTTTTTTCTTTCTGTCCCTCAGACTTGATCATGTCAATGCACCTGTCTTCAAGTTCACCATACATTTATCAGCCGCTCCAGTTACTGGCGAGCCCCTC